GGGGAGGGGGCAAGGGGGAGAGACTGATGGAGAGTGTTCCAGAGTTTCGGGGTGTAGTAGCTGAAAGCGCGACCTACGATGGTGGGGTGGAGTGTGTGAGGGATGAGCAGGAGGCCGGTGCCAGTTGAGCGGAGGCGCCCGGTGGTGGATTGGGGAGCGAGGAGGTCGGAGAGGTAGGGAGGTGCCAGGGAGCGAAGGGATTTGAACACAAAACAGATTGCAGCCACTTTGATGAAAAGTCATTGACCTGAAACGTTGAATCACTTTCTTGTCTCCATCGATGCTGCCTGACCTGCTGCATGTTCCCAGTGACTTCTGTTTTATTTCAAATTTCCAGCATCAGCAGTATTTTGCCTTTCACAGCCACATTGAGCTATGCTCGTAGCAGGAGACTGATGCATTTGATTCAGCTACAATACATTGATTGGTAAGAGAACTGTAGAGTAACAGAGCAGCCTATTTTGGATTGTTTTATAAAGCACATTTCTTTTTCACACTCTGGCCTTCACGTCAATCTGCCAATTGGTTGAGGCTTCTATAAAAGCTGCGGATTGAAAATAATTAGTTGTGTTTCGTCATTTTCAATAGGCTCTGAAAGTGTTTGTGTCTCTTTCAGCCACAGCTTAAACTACTACTGTTTCAGTGACTAGTTAGATTGTGGTACAAGGTGCACATCTCCATCACTTACTGCTCCTGTATAGCAGCTGACAAAGAGGTAATAGCACCACTCAGTGGCTGAGTATGTAAACACAAGATAAGTGAATGAAGCATGAAACTGGTTGGTTCCTCAAGCCTGCTCCTTGCTCAAATCATGCAGGATCAATCATGGATTTCACACCACCATCTCCTAGGGGAAAACATCCTGAGTCGTACTCAAACAAAATCTCCGTAATATTTATCCTCTCCACTGTTCAATCCTGGCCTGCTACCTTCCTAAGATAGACACACACACACACAGACAGAAACACACACACAGACAGATGCGCACGCAGGCATGTACACTTGGCCTGAGCAGCTTAGAACATTTTCTTTCTATCCTTTGGAATATTTGTGAATCTCATAAGAACATAAGAAATGCCAGATGAAAAAAGACCAAGGTCCATCTAGTTCGCCTTCCATCTTCCTGCCAGTCGCATGCACATACGTCCCAAACTATCTATGTACTATAATGTTATTTCCTAAAAGAAAACTATCTAATCTGTGTTTGAAATAATCAAAATTCCCTGCTTCAACCATATCCCGAGGGAGCCTGTTCCACAAGTTCACTATTCGCTCACTGAAATAGTGTTTCCGTAGATTTATCCTGAATTTACCCTCTTCATTCGCAGGCCCTGTTCTCTGGTTTTACTATTCTGGACAAGTTCAAACAGCCTGTTGTGATCTATATTGTTTTGCCCCTTTAGAATCTTAAAGAGAACAATCATGTCACCTCTCAATCTTCTCTTTTCCAGTGTGAACATGCCCAATTTACTTAGTCGCTCCTCATAGTCCAGTCCTTCCATTCCCTCAATCATTTTGGTTACCCTCCCCTGAATCTTTTCAATTTCTCCAATATCCTTTTTGTACTGCGGGGACTAGAACTGTATTGAGTACTCTAAGTACTGTCTCTCCAATGATTTGTATGATTTATATGATTTAGAATCTCAATCTCCATCTGTTCCTATACATGTTTTAAGCTTTAATTTATGCAACATAAACTGCTTTAGTTGAGACTATCACAGCCAATTTGCACTGCTTTGATAACCCAGTATTTATGGTTCTGATATTGTAAATTTATATACAATCAAGAGTAATAAATATATTCCAAGAATGGAAGCTTTTGGCATTTTGGTTTTTGGCGGTTATTTTGTCTGATCTGACACATGCACACACCCATCACCATATTTTTGAAACTATTGAAACCAGAGTTCCACATATCCAGAGATCCAGAGTTTCCCACACATGGAAATATTCCAGTGTCCGGAATGGAAAGCATACTACATTAGTTAGCAACATGTATTCCTTTTTTAAAGAAATCTCTTACAGCTCCACCAGTGGTGTAAATTGTGAAAGCACTGCCTGATGCAACACTGAACCGGGCAATGGTAATTTGGAGTTATCTGATCTCATTGGCCCCAGAACCTCTGGGTTATGCAGGGACATATTAAACAGTGTTCCTGCTGTTGACCACTACCCAAAGAGCCCACTATGTGGTTGGACGGGATCGGGACCAACATTGATGTCCTTGGAGTCAAATAACCTATCAACCCTCACTGTCAAGGTCTTCACATGAATAATGACCAGACGTACCAGAGCCAATGGAAGAGGAAATGGGAGTAAGAAATCTTGAAGTAAAGGAGAAAAATAAAAGATTAATCAAAATTGAAGAGCTGCCTGTGCCACTTTAACCCAAAGTTCAATTTGGAGAATAGTGGTTTCACAATGGGGTGCTAAACTAATGTTCAGTAAAACGCTACACACAGTGTGGCTGCCAAGTAATAGACTTGTGCTCATCAACAATTAGCGAGAATAGTTATTCACAAAGCCTTCCCAATCCCAGAAGGGTGCCAATATCCATTTTGACTGATTCTGGCAATGCTGGCTGTTTCCTGCTGTCCACATATCATGTTGAGATGAAACTATCGCGAAGGCAGATGCAGAAAGCCGGAGCTCAGCTTCATGTGGCTTTCAATTCTCCACATAAAATTGTTCTTTGTGAAGCATTTCTGTGGCACATTGCCTTATCACCGCGTTAGCCTAATACGGTCAATACTTGACAGCCATTTCCCGTGAAGCACTATGAGACACTGCAATGATGCTACATCAAATGCAATGTTGATTATTTATCATCTGATTTGTTCCCCTCCCTGTGAAGCACATTTTTCTTCTCTTCCCCTCCCCCGCCAGGGTGTAGAACTCACAGATACAAACTCATGTATCACACTGTGTGAGGAGAAAGCTAGAAAACTAATGAATGACATTATCAAACAATTTATCTCAGTACTGCAATATCTGCAATCAGGTGCCCCTGTGAGAAACTCAAATTTTGAAAGGCTGTTAGGTAATCACACTAGGTTATTGACTGGAAAATCTCATATGAAAATTGTTTGTCCCAAAGACTGCCCAAGGTCAGCATTGCTTTCACATACTGCAGCATCCTTCTCTCTATCAAGCAGCCCTCTGCAGTGTTTGCTGGCACAGCTAACAAAATATTAGCTGCTAAATGTAGTGTGACTTCAACACTTCGTGGAATAAGATTGTTCTGACTGAAAGCTCTCTTCACTCAGCAAGATAAGGTGAACCAATATGTCAAGGACAACAGGGCAAAGTAATTTTAACTCAATTGTAAGGCAAGTTTTACAGTGCTGTGAAACAGACTGGCGGTTAAAGAGCAGGTAGAGCCTTCATTGCAGTAGAAATGCAAAGTTGGTTTACAACACTATCCAGATCAGGAGGCAACCAAACCATTTAAATACAACTTTCAGGCTATTACATCGTCACAACTATTGTAGTTGTGTGTTATTTCAGGATCCACCCACGCTTTAATTGGTGGATCGATGTCATAATAGATATTTCACCTGGTGCCCGTGCAGTCCTGTATTTTAGGATTAAAGAACTCACCCTGCAAGTGAGAGACCTGAGTTTGATTCCCGGCAGGGCGAAATGTTGGGCGATTTTCCTTACTCCACACGCCTTTATTTACCTAGCAGTAAGTTACAACCCGGTTGTTAGTCGATTGGCAGATCTCTTTTCTGAAGGTAACAATGCCTTAAAAATAAATTGGTCACTCAATCCACGACTGTTTGTGGGACACTGCTGTGCACAATGGGCTGCTGCATTTCACCCCAAAAATATAGTCCATTAATTTTACAGTATATTCTACAAAGGGCTTTGAGACATCTCGAAGACCTGATAAGGCGCTATATCAAATTCAAGGATTATTATTATTATCCACCCACGCTGTAATACGTGGATCGAAGTTATAGATATTTCACCTTGTACATGTCATCCACTTAGTGAGGCTCAAATCTGTTTGTCCAATGTCAAAAGTCCAACTAGTATCTATCCTCCTGGGGTGTGGGGGGGTGGGGGGGAAGGGTAAGCAAAATCTACTTGGTAGTTCCACTGCCTCCAATGTGACAACAGGATGTTGGAATTGAGCCAGCCCTCTGCGACAGTCGCTGTGGATCTGGTTTCTGAGCCAGGTGGGTCCACAATATTCCAGGGCACTGTCTGGCTCATTCACAGGATTTGGAAGGGCAGACCAGTCACTGGGGTAGGGACTCAAACTTTTGCTTGGACATTGGTGAAGGTGGAGCATTTGCAAAATCTAGGATCAAGCAGTGAGGTGGATTAGTGGCAAACATGGGAAGCGACCACAGGGAGGGAGCGCTCCGGCCTGCACTGACCGGTCACTAGGCCCCGTGGAGACAGAGTTGGCTTCACAGTGGGGGTGTATGTGAAGCCAAAGGCCCTTACCTGGATCAAGCAATTGGTGCTGAGTAAACCTGGTACATGGCATTGGACTTGGACCTCAAGATGGTTGGCACATCCCAAGCTGTCCTGTGAAGGTCCTCCGACACCCTGAAGGCAGATGTCTATCAGATAGCTGATGAGGAAACGCTGAGGCTTAGGATGACAGCTACTGGAAAGCGTTACCTGGAGTCCGAGTTCGTGAACAGTTCAGATGTCAGATTATTCCCACTCAGATCCCCTTAATCCCGCAAGCCAAAGCCCTAATGGGTAGAATGTTTCCAGCTGGACAATTAACAAGAAAGCTTGCCAGGCAGTGCTTTCAATGCTGTGTTTTTAGCTGGTTAGACTCCAGCAGTACCCCAACACACATTCGTACATCATTTGCACATTCCATTCCAACAATCTACCTCTGGGATTTCCATATGTACGTGGGATAGAAATTTCAGCTTGGTTTGGATACTCTTAAGCATGGTGATGGGTTTCCACATGTGTCAAAACACCCGGCTGACCACACAAAATAGCATTTTTCTGAGGTTGAAAGCCCCAACAGTTCATCAGAATTTATTGATCAGAAATCAAACAGAAATAAGAATGCAGCAACAGAAACACCAAACTCGCTCCATCCAGACTACAGATAATTCACAAGCACAGATTCTAACACAAATAAAACAATTTCGTTTACATTCTCTAAATTTTAATATAGTATAAGTATTAAAGATGTCTTGTCAGTTCTCTGAATAAAATTTGAGTCAACCCTCAACTCCCATTTCCTTCAGTATAAAACTGCAAACATCTTTTGAATATGCCAATTGTATTTTACACTCATCAAAAGAAAATAGTGCTACACCTTTCCCAACAGTATCAGCCTGGCTCAGTTGGTAGCACATTCAACTTTGAGTCAGATATTTATGGGTCCCACATCAGGACTTTGAACTCACAGTCTTTGAAGGTGATACTCCAATACAGTGCTGGGACAGCTCTGCATTACCCTAGGTGCAGTCCTTTGGATGAGACACAAAATCAAGGTCCCCTCTCTCTGCCTGTTCAGGTCAATGGCAAAGATCCCTTGCTTTTCAAAAATTCTCCTGTCCTGGCCAACAATCTCCCAAATACAATCATTCGCTTTGTCATTCACGTCAAAGGACATTGCTGTGTGCTAATTGGCTGTCGCGTTCACCCACAAATACAGTCACTAAACTTTACTGTAAATCCTGTGAAGAGCTTTGAGCTGGGATGAGATAGAAAGACGTTATTATGAACCCACAATCTGCCCCTCAGATTGTGAGAATAGGATCAGTCTGTTCCTTCCCGATTAAACCTCTAATGTATCCTAAACACGTGACATAGTGACTACCTGAAGCACCAACTTTAGATCCACTGAAATCAGTGAGATTTCCCAGTAACTCATGGCTTTACTATGGCCACCTTAATTGTGGATAGAAAACACACTTGCATTCTGGCACACTGACGGTATTTATACCTCAGACCAAATTCTGTTGAACAGACTTAGAAAGCTCCAAGACAAGTTGATGGTTCCCGGTATTGATCTGCCCTCAGAGCAGCCTTTAGGAACTTGGCATTAATACCGTCTGCACCTGTTGCATACCCTGCTATAAGGCAAGGAAGGGCTGAGCCCATTTCTGTTCAAGGGACTGGATCATTTCGGCCTTCATTGGCTCAGGAATTCCCACCAGCTTGTCCAAGGTCTAAGGAGATGGGTCTCTGCTACAGCCTGTTGGGTCAAACTCCAACTCAGCATACTGCTCCGTACAGACCCCAAGGATAACAACAACAAATTTAATTTGTACATGAATGAGAGCATCTTGAAATAGATCCATTCTGCTATAGGGAGCAAATGGAGTCTGCCAAGGAGTGATGGGCATGTGGAGTTTGGTACAGGCGAGGATACGAGTAGCAGAGTTGAATTAATTGAATTTTATGAATGATGGAGCTGGGAGAAGAGGGCATTGGAATAATACAGGTGATAAATGCATAGATAAGCGCTTCACCTGGTAAGGGTGTAAGATATGTTTGGAGGCGGGCAATATGGTAAAGGTGGTGGAATATGGTCCTGGTCAGGGATGTGGGGAAGGAAGGCCAGATGGGGATCAAACCTGATGTCTGGGTTGTGCATAGATTCAGTGAGTCTGAGGAATAGGCCAGGAGTTTAAGGAGATTGGAGCTGCAGGTTATAAGACATTGATGGGCATCAAGGGTTGTCAACATTCAGCTGCAGAAAGTTGCTGCTCATCCAGACTTTGATGTCTCGACAAGCAAAAGAACAGAAAATTGGTGGACTTGGGGTCGTGGCTAGAGGAGGAAAAGTAGATTTGTGTGTCACCTGCATATATGTGGAAATTGATTCCATGTCTGCGGATGAGATCACCAAGGAGCATGAAAATCAGGAATGGAGGGGACCAAGGATAGAGCCTTGTGGTACGTCGCAGGTGACTCAAAAAAGGTGAGAGAACCCATTTGCAGAGACCTGGTGATGGTGGTGGATCAAGTAGGACTTAAACCAGGATAGTACAGGCCAATTGAGGTTGATTAGGAGAGGCGGTAGAGGAGGATTGCATATCAACTGTCAAAGCAACAGAGAGGTCCAGGAGGACAAAGGCAGCTCTTGTCACAGAGACAGAGGACATCATTTGTGATTCTGATGATAAATTTCTTGGTGCTTGGCGAGGCAGAAACCAGACAGAAGGGGCTTGAACAGAGACTAAGATTAATTTGGTTACCATAAGTGGGAAGCATCGCAATGTGATTTTGAGTTACTGAGGTAGCATGACATTTCCTAAAGCCACAAGAATAGCAAACGTGGACGGTTCCAAATTAATAATAATAATCTCTGCATTTACTCATGTTGAAAAGTAACCGTGGTTTATCAGGGGAAGATGTTTCTAAAGTGTGGAAGCAAAGATAATCCTTGATATAGCAAATTATCAGGTCGTTGAGGCATCTCAAAGCACCTCACAGGATATACTATAAGGTGATAAACTGTGTATTTTGTGGGCAAAGATGACTGAGATGTTCAAACAGCACACACCAACATACAGACACATGTCACTTATACTTGATAATTCTGAAACTCTAGAATGAATTATTTGAATTCAATCTGTTCTTACTAATGTCAGATTCTGTCTTGGTTACACCACTATTTGTAAAATTGACAAAGGAAAAGCTTGTCGAACGAAACTAGTCAACTACACCTTCGTACTTCAGTCTCGAGAGGTTTAATCGTGATTTCTACAGAATTGGCTCGATCGTTACTGCTGTTGCTCTTGTTGTTGAGGTGCCACAAGTCCTCCATCCTGAGCAGTGTTGTAAGATCCACAGTCAATGCACTTCATACCCAAAACGTGAAATGGTGCAATGCTGTGGTGGTGGCAATCATTGCACAAGACCTGTAAAAGTTATAATTACACAGAATTATTTGTGGTTAATGATGAACAAGGCCTGTATGTTGATTCTAGATACCGGATGCCAAAACGGACAACTTATGTCACTATTGACATCACTTCCTGCTTTCTGCAAAAAGTGATGTTGGTAGCAACCTAACGTTACAGAGACAACTCACGAGCGAGTGAGTAGTGAATAAGGTCCACGCTGCACAGTGCTATAACCAAAATTGTGAAGAAGTGTTATTATAACGGGGCTGTATTGCATTATGTTACACCATCTCTTGGAATTATTAAGCATATTACAAAAGTTGACTCACTGACTGTCAATATTCGGAACTAAACTGTAGTACTCACCCGAACAGTCATACCGTGATATTCGGTCGGCATTGGGGTCTCGGCTATTTCTGCGTCAAGTTCCTCCCAATATTTAGTCATGTCAACAGCAGACTGCATACATAGGGGACATCGATAGGCTCTGAAACAGCAGGGCTACAGGTCAGCTTGTACAAAGAGAAGAGTACGAAGCATAATGCAAATAATAAAAACATGTCTTATTGTGACATTTCTGTCATAATTTGACAGTACAAATTTGACATTCCAAGATTTTAGAATTAACAGTATATTCCATCCCCCAATGGCTTGGTTGCGATGTGAACTGCCCAAGTTAAACCCCAGGCTGAATTCAGCAATTCAGCATTTGGCATATTACTAGTAGGCTCAATGCCATTGGGCTACAGAAAATCTAATAGTCTCACTTGCCTCATACCTGCCATTATTCAGTTTATATACACAAACGAAGGAATGATCACATGAGGGAGGACAAGTTTGGGGACGACAAGTGTGCAGGGCTATGGGGATTGAATTGGTTAAGTCTTTTCAAAGAGACGGCATGGACACGATGGGCCGAATGGCTTCCTTCTGTGCTGTATAATTCCATGATTCTATGATGAGCAACAATAAAAAAATGTTTATATAGGGTCACGTCGGAAGGACGTCCCAAGATGCTGGACAATTAAGGGTTTGCATCCAAGCTGGGGGTTGGAATCAAGATGGTTGGAATGTAGGGGGAGTAGGGGTGGGAGCTTATCTGAAGGCATGGTCAAAGAGGAAGGTCTTGAGACAGGCCTTGAATGAGGCAGGGGAGGGGCGAGGCAGAGGAATTCAGGATTGAATTCAGTATTTAAGCGCTCTGAGACGTGTGGAGGGCGCTAAGTGCAAGTTGTTATTGTTGAGTTCCAGAAGATGGGGCAGAAAAGGTGAAAGCTTGTCAGCCAATGTGGAGTGGGCGGGGATGGGAGACATGGCGCAGGTCAGTGCCCATCGAACGGAGAGAGCGGGTAGGTTGGTATGGTGTTAAAGAGGTCTCAGAGGTAGGGAGGAACACAACCGTGGAGGGCTTTAAAAGTGAGGACGAGGATTTTAAACTCGGAAGGAAGGGCAAGGAAATGGAAGACAACTCGCATCAGTGGAACCATACATACATACATATATATTTTCTGTTTATTAGTTCTCAAAGGCAGCAGACACTGTCACCTCGTTATATTACATCACACAACCATTTCAACTCCAATGCTCTAAAATACTTACCCTTTATTAAACAACAATTGACGGCAGGTACTATAAAACAAAAAAGAGCAGTAATGTTTGGTTAATATCACTTTCCAGTGTAGAAAACATTCAACATCTCTTGGCGAGTGTTTAAAAGGGTTTGCTTCCAGATTTAACTCCTGTGGGGAATGACCTGTCATCCACACAAAGTATCTATTTGCAGTCATCATGCTGGGACAACTAGGAACATTCTTGTGTTACTGTAATCCCCAATACTAGAAAGGTTTATGGCTGGTGAAGAAAACAATGAAATGTTTTGGTGGTTCTACAGGGGTTCCAGACCAATCAGCTTCAAGTTAGTTCTACTTTTTTCCTCAAAATGCTAATCTTTAAAACAACATCACTGGCATTAATATACATTAAAACTCGCATAACTCTAATCTGTATTGCATAATTGCCAAAGTTGTATATCTACCCAAGTTCTGTTGAATTTCCGATTAAATCCACTTAAACTTTGTATTAACAATAACGGAACTAGTAACCCCCCTATCACGCTTGACGCAACCGCCTATTCATGTCATGACTGGAGCACAGCCTCAAGACTACATGGGCAGTGCTGTACTGAGGGTCGAGGTGTGCATGTGTGGTGTTCACTTTTGTGGTAGGCACGGGAAACAAAGTTTTGACCTGGCAGCGGCAAGTGGCGGGGGGCCAGGGGGTGAGCGGGGCCAGGGCAGGGCCGAGTGAGTTGCGTGATTGTTGGTATAGTTTCCATGTATTTGTTATGCATGTTTGATATAACCCATGCTTTGCAGAAGTCATATTTATTGTTTAGTCCCAACTGGTAAGACTTATGTGAGGTTTACTGTGGAAACTCCGCACAAATCGTAACTCCAAGGGACAAGGACTCTGCAACGACTTATCTGGATTTCAATTTCATGTGATAAACAGTCCTGGGACTAGAACTCATAAACCTCATTATGTGATTCAGGGCCAAGCTCTAAACATAACATTAGCAAATTAGGCGCACAGAATTCAAAAGGGATGATGTGTATGTAACTTTTACATTTGCAATTTTAAAACTCTTTAAAACTGGGACAAGAGATTAAAAGGGTTACATCCCACTTGCGACTAAGTGCAGGAACACTGAGTTAACAGGAATGTCACCTCACATAGTGACAAGCATAATATTCCCCCCACAAAGGTAATTCGCTGGATTATTGTAAACATAACAGTCATGCAGCAGAGGAAGGATCATGTCACTAGAACAGCAATAAATCATTTAAAAAATGCTGCTAATGCCAAGTGCTTGTGTGGACAGGATGTTCTCTCCCAACCCCCCACCTGTACACCTGCCAACAGCTGCATGGAAGAGATCAAAAGGCTGCCAGGGCCCAAGCAACTGTACTTGGTGCCAACACTGAGGAGAGGGAACAAATTGATTGTGAGCCTGATTTTCTGCTCAATAGAAAACTACTAATCTGAATTTGAGTTTTGCTGCTGTTTAGTCTGTTCATTTGTTATCCAAATCACTGTCGTAAATCGAGTTCTTTTCTTCCCCCATTTTGTTTTTACATTTTCATTTACTTTAGCTTTCCTATTTCTCTCTTTTTTTAAATGTTTGATATCAATTGTGGTCACCAAATAAGATACTTCAAGGTGGAAATTTAAATTCTGTTAAAGAAATTTCCTCCTGTTGCGAGGAATGCAAGTTTGCAATTTAAAAAGATTAAATCAAAATAACAGGCTGTGATCTTCTACCTGCTCCAAGCTAATTAACTGCAGAGACTGTTTGATTTAATGCATCTAAAGAAGGAATACACCTTGGACAGAATAGGAAATCCAGAAACCCCAGGTTGACGGTCTTGTGGGCATAATATATTCATTTAACCTGCACAAACTTCAAGTGCTAAAAAATAAACAGTTTGTAATAAATATATTTCCATCACTGGGCCAAGTACTTGCATTTGATTTAAGAAACTTAATAATAATCTTCACATTTGAAATTATGCCTTATCATGTTATCGAGACATCTCAAAACGTTTCACAGGTTATACTGTAAGGTGGTTTGACTGCATATTTTGTGGGCGAAATGCAGTAGCCAATTGCACACAGCAATTTCCCACAAACAGCTATGGAGTGAGTAACAAAGGTTTTAGAGGGATTGTTGTCCAGCACACCATGGGAACCTCCCTTCTCTTCAAATAGACCATGGGATCGAACAGCCACCTGGCCAGGCAAACAGGAGCTCAGTTTATCATCTCATCCGAAGGCACTTCCAACAATGCAGCACATCCCCAGCACAGCATTGGAGTGTCATCTTAGACTATATGATTCCAAGTCCTCACATGGGGCTTGAATCAAAACCTTATGACTCAGAGGCAAGAGTGTTACACTGAGCCAGGCTGATGCCATTGCAGTAAACAACTATGGTAAACTACTGCAGGCCTCCAACAAACTCTTGAGTAACCCTTGTTACTTCCACTGAGCTATCAGGAACGGACCGTTCAGTACACTTACTTGTGAAGAAGGTGGCCACAAGGAAGTACTTGTGCTTCAATACGAGAAGTGTGTATATCCTGTTACAATAAAATATGTAATTCATTACTATGAAAAATTAGAGACTGATTAAAGTCTAATTCCTTATACAAGTCTTGGTGTGGTGCATTGCATTTTGCTTTTATCAAGTTAAAACATGTCAGGACTACACCACCCACTAATCTAACAATTAATGTAGCACATTACACATGGGGCTTGGATCATTTGCATAATAATTTTGGCAATTATATTTATTTAATGGTCCAAATAGTTCCCTCAGAACTCGCAAAAGAACCACTAGTGGCATTCCTGTATTATGTCATCCAAAGATAAAACAATCAGAGTCATTATATTGTGCAATGCAAACGTCTTTGAATAAATGCGTGCCAAGGGAAAGCTCTAGTCCAAGTTCTCACATTGCAAAAATGAAAATGCTATACCACTGTTTTGCACCTTAAAAAGTAATTTCCGATCTTACCTCCAAACATACTGGGCAGTTTTGTCGTGAAACGTTTTCAACACACTGCAGAAAAATTAACAGCATCAATATTCACAATGTGGTTGTGAAATACGGCTCCCATTCAAACGGTACATCAAAAAAGTATACTATATAAAAGTATTGCCTATCTAAACAGGCAGAAATAACTTGATTACTACACTGAAATGTCAGTAACGGCTGGCTAATACAGCAGGCATATTTAAAGACCATCCAAACAGTCAGTCAAAATTTTGATTTTAGCATTTTGTAACAACAATAATAACTCTTTCATTTGATATAGTGCCTTATCACATCAAAACTCTACAAAAATCAACGCACTTTACAGGATATACTGTAAAATGGTGTGAATTTTGTGGGTGAGCATGTGTACTGTGTGTATTTTGTGAGTGAGTGTATATACTGTGTGTATTTTGTGGGTGAGCATGTGTACTGTGTGTATTTTGTGGGTGAGTGTATATACTGTGTGTATTTTGTGGGTGAGCATGTGTGCTGTGTGTATTTTGTGGGTGAGTGTATATACTGTGTGTATTTTGTGGGTGAGCATGTGTACTGTGTGTATTTTGTGGGTGAGTGTATATACTGTGTGTATTTTGTGGGTGAGCATGTGTACTGTGTGTATTTTGTGGGTGAGCAAGGCAGCTAATTATGCCAACAGCAATGTACCACAAACAGCCATAAAGTGAGTGACCAATTTTATTTGGGGGATTTTCTTTTAAGTGACCAATTTTATTTGGGGATAAACTTCCTTTTTTTTGAACAGTGCCATGGGATCTTTAGCGTCCAGCTGAACAGGAAGACAAGATCTCGATTTAACGTCTTAACTGAAGGATAGTACCTCCAGCAATGCAGCACACTCTCAGGGCTGAATTGGAGGGTCAGCCAGGACTATATAGGTTCCAAGTCCTTGGATAATGAATGAGGGCCCTGTCCTAATATAACTGGGAACCCTTCAATCTAGGTTCAGTTATATTCAGACAGGGTTGACATACCTCATTATGTAAACTCCGGATAATTCTTCACTTCAAGAGAAAAGAGCTTAGTGGAGGAGTTATCTGGAGTAGCGAGTTAGGCATAGGTCATCCCAGGCCATAAGGTACGCTGGGACTGGTGCACAGACGCTAGGCTCACATGCTCAGATGCATCGCAGAGGCCTTTGCTCTATCGGTATATCCTCACACCCTATCCTGTGAAAGGGTAGGAAGCTTCTGTGATGAAAGCTGCCATTTTACAGGATAAGTTATCTGATCAATTTTACATTGCAAATACTTACAACAATTTCTAGAAAGTAACTAGTCATGTGTTAAAGGGAGTGACAAGGGACAAGTCCCTTATATTGACAATACGGCGACTTAAGTACCAGTGACAAGTTAAGCCAGGGTTGAGTTATCAGGAGTTTACTGTATTTCCACTATTGATGCCTGTGCTTATGGTCCTTTCTTTGGGCAATAAGATGTGAAGAATGTGTTGTAGAATTGTCTGCAACGATGCTGATCAATGGCTGGCCGTAAAGAGTTGTGATCGCATTGTGTGTGATCGTGAGTATTGTTCAGTTTCCCTCTCTACCAACCCCCAAAAGGAAACAAATGAGGACTTCATCATTATCTGTTTCACCAGTCAAATACAAACTGTGCTACCTTGTGGTTTCCACGAAGATGAATTGCAAGACAGAAGTTGCATTTGCTACAGTGGAAAAACATTTCCTTCGGTCCAATCCTGTTAAGAAAAAAAAGTTATGAGTAATCAGCAATTTCAAAAACAGATTAGTGCTCTTTTACTGCCAATAGCAAAACCCCAAAACTGCCTTATGCCATCATAGACTACTGAATTAATAATGCTTCCATGCAAAATTAATTGTTCTGTTCAATCTAATGTGTTCCTCAATTTTAGGTATTCCAGTAACCTATACAGAATGTATCTAAATGAATGAAAGCAATCTGATCACCTGGCAGCATTTTATAATGTTATAAGGTCTGAGCTTTCTTTATTATTATTATGAGTACAATGGTCTCAGGAATACAGATCACAAACCTCTATAGAAACGAGCATGAGCAGTAATACAGTGTTATTATGTGAGGCAGTAGTCGGGCTAGGGCAGACACCACTTGGTAGGGGACAATTCCTAGAAAGGACTAACACACAGTCACCGGTTATGAAGACCGACTGCTCTATTGAGCGCAAAAAATATCAATGCAATTATCTGAGTAGCATATACTAAAAAGGTGCAAGTATCTATACATGCAAAGGTCCTGCAACCACCTGATTTACAACACAATATACATTTAAACAGCATCTTTCACGTCAGGAGGATGTCTCAAAGCATTCGCCAATACTGGATAGAGTGGGCGTGCTGAGGGGGAGAAAACTGACTGAAAGCACGGTCAAAGAGGTACATTTTGAGAAAATAATAATCCTTGCATTGATATACTGCTTTTGACGTCTTCTAGATGTCTCAAAGCGCTTCACAGAATAAACTGGCAAATGAATTGACTGTATATTTGTGGGCAAAATGCAGCAGCCAATTGCGCACAGCAGTGTCCTACAAACAGTCGTGGATTGAAGTGACCAAATTATTATTGTTTTTTTTGCTGTTTTTTTTTAGAAAGGATTATGATCCCTGGAAAAGCAATTTATTTGTTGGTGAAATGCGAAAGTTACTTCCATATGCCAGATTAACATTCTGCTTGAAAAACAAAGTCGGTGGCCAGGCTTTCAGCCTCTCTGCGCCCACACTCTGGAACTCCATCTCACAGTCCCTTCGCCTCGCGTCCTCCCTCGCCTCCTCCAAGGCTGGTCTCAAGACCTTTTTCTTCGATCGTGCCTTCAGTCGCACTCCCACCTCTCTAACTTCCCTCACCTCTACCCCACCCCTCCCCCATGCTCGGTCCTGACCCCTGACTGTCCAGCGCCTTGGGACATCCTCCTGACGTGAAAAGCGCTCTATAAATATAATTTTGTTGTTGTTTGTTGTTGTTGCTATTTAAATATTGCAGCTTGTTACACTTCTGGGAGGCAACACGGGCTGTCAATAGATCAATAAAACACATTAAAACATTTTTGAGAAAAGGCCATTTATAATAATAATCCTTGCATTTGATATAGCGCTTTTCATGTCTTCTAGACGTCTCAAAGCGCTTCACAGAATAATAATAATCCTTGCATTTGATATAGCGCTTTTCATGTCGGGAGGACGTCCCAAAGCGCTTCACAGAACACACTGTAAAGTGAATTGACTGTATATTTGTGGGCGAACACGGCAGCCAATTGCGCACAGCAATGTCCCACAAACAGTCGTAGATTGAAAATGACCAATTTATTATTGTTTTTGGTTTTTGAAGGGATTATTATTAGGCGTGTGGAGTAAGGAAACTTGCCCAAGGTTTCGCCCTGTGCCTGGAATTGAACTCAGGTCTCTTGCTTGCAAAGCGAGTGCTCTAACCACTGAGCTACAGGACTCTACTGTGAAGTGAATCGACTGTATATTTGTGGGTGAAATATGGCGGCCAATTGCACACAGCAGTGTCCCACAGACAGTCCTGGACTGAGTGACCAAATTTTTTTTTAAGATTTATTATCAGGCATATGGAGTAAGGAAACCATCAATCATTTGGCTCATCAATCATGCTCCTTCCAGCAGTCTTTCCCATTCTATTCTTTCCTTGGAGATTAAAGAGGTCTGGAAGATGAGAAATACTCCACTTCCAAAAGGTAAAAAAGCAAATGAGATTCCATCGTAACACCTCTGTTGTTAACTCTGGCTTGTTCTCCTCACTTGAGGAGATTCCCTTGCCAGCAGCAGTCAGGAACTGTCATATATTGGGATGATCATGATTTCACTGCAAACCTATCCCCTTAGTGGAACAGAATAAAAGTAAAGTCATTAAGTACTCAATTTAGTTAAGCCACATGTACTAAAGATGAAGAAGGTGACATTTATCTCTTTATACTCACCTACAAATGCCACATGCTGAACAATGATACTGTTTTTTGTCTATATCATATAGGTGACATATGCTACAGTAGTAGTCTCCAAACACAGTAGCACAGCTCTCACAAGACCTTTGCACCTATAAAGAAAAGTCATGTGTTTCCGACATGGTTTGACAATCATACCACTTGACTTTTAAACTACAACAGAACATAGAAATTACAACATAAGACAGTGCTTGCTTGTCCATTGAAAAAATCTAACCCCTGACCTTTCCCGGTATCCTTTTATGTTGCTGCTATTCAAATAATGAATTCCTTTTTAAATGTTATGAACTCAGCCCAAATAGACATTTGTGGCAAAATATGCCACATGCTAATAACCTTCTGCATGAAAAATGTTCTTCGAATCTTTCCCTCACGACTTCTAGTGGCAAACCTGAGTTTACTTCCAACATTATCCATTTACCAAATAATGGAAATAATTTTTCACTACCTATCCTCTCAAATCTTGGAGATTGAAAACTGTCATTAAATCATCCTTAACCTTCACTGTTCCAGTGAAAATTGGAGGAGGATACTCTGTATTTTCAAACAGAGTGCATATCTTTCAGAGTGTGGCATGCTAAGCGAAGACATTTCAGTATGAAGGATAAAGGAGCTATTATAAGGCGCTAGATGATTTTACATCTTGTAACTATTTTACAAGAGGTCAAATATTTTAGGTTACTGTGAAACAAAAATGGGAACAAAAAGCCAGAAAAAGCAGCAGATGCAGGAGGAAATGAGATTGAATTACTGAAATTGTTAGAATAATCTCTTCTGAAATAAATGGAGAAAGTAATTACTATATATTGAAAAGCTGTGGAAGATAGTGCTAGGTCATTGCATCCAGCCATTCCAAATAAGGGTGAACAACTGCAGATGTAAAAAGGGAAGATATTCTTGATATAGTTCCTGATGATAATTTACATTACATGAATCCTGCCAGGTTTAGCATTCTCTAATTTCCTTGATTGTTAAGAGAGTTCGCTCCACTGATGTGTGATAAAAATTGTAGCAATTATTTTGTTGAATAGTAGGGATTTCATGTTTTCTACTAATGTGAAAGTTAAGACTTTCAAAAAGTCTTAAATCACCGCTGTAGAAATAAGAAACACTTTAGCATTTTTAAAATTAGTGACTGAATCTTTGGCCATTGTGGTCCACATCCATACGGTGTCAAAGGTTCACTGATGCCCAGCATGTTTGTGCTGCTGGTGGTTCTCAGTATTATGTAATTTAACAGCAGTCTATCAACAAAAAACTACTATTGGAGCACCACAATTAGCTTCAGAGCAATGATAACCTTACAAAACAATCTCTTTTTTTTACCTCCTCTCACCATCCACCCAAAACAAAACCACAGGTTTCTACTGTATATTGTGGAGTTTCCAAAGTCAACATTGAAATAGATGGGTGAACTCCGAGATAGAAATGATTTGTTATTACCTGCTGAACAGTCTTACACTTTGCACACTGAACCTCTGCGACCTTGAAGCGATCCAACTCGTGATTTTCCAAGTCATCGTGACACAAACGGCAAACGTAAAACTTCTCACAGCATGGAGCCTTAAAGATCAAAAACATTTTATTTAATAGAAATCTTTCCTGGTTAATTCAGCTCAATGTAAGTTATTTAAAATTCTCACTTCATACCAAGTCTGCCTACAAAAAAAGTCACTATACTTCACAGGATTTCCTGTGAAGCGCTTTGAGATATCCTTCCGAAGTGAATGGTGCTGTGCAAAATGCAGACCGTTACGTATGCCTGTACAGCTTAGGTTTTTGTATAGGGTGATCAAAAAGTCGTGATACCATTACAATGTGTAATAAGTCTTAAAGAAATTATATTCTTTGTGTTTTTTTTATAATAGGGTATTTATCAGAATTTTTTTGGTCATCCTATATATTGGGTGGCAAAATAACTGGATACATTCAGAAGCAATTGTAATAAGGATATCTCACACATTTGATCTGGTGGCGATTGACAGTACAGAAAGACAAAAGGGAAAATGTACTCCACTAGGTACAGGAAACCGCTCAGTACAAATCATAGTGGGGATGCCTTATTTCAACAGTAATTGGGTTCTGCATCCTCCTGCTTTTATTTGGTCGACGGGTGTCTAACACATGCGGAAACCCATCACCATGCTTAACAATATGCAAACCAGACAGAGCTCCACATATGTTTGCAACCTCCACATGGAAAGTTACCTGTGTCTGGAATGGAACGTGAACGCTCTCCTTGGTGGGACACACCTGGGCTTATCTAAATCCAGAGAGTATTAAATGCAGGTTGGTGAGCGTCAAGGTTTGGGGAGCTCAGAGTATCTTGGGGGTATTGCTGGAATGTAAGCAGCTAGAAATGCCTATCTTGACACTACCACTGTCAATCAAGCTTCCTGCTGTTTCCCCAGGTTTACAAAGATTTACAAAGAATGTGCAGCATGGAAACAGGTCATTCATCCCAACCATTCTATGTCGATGTTACTTTGACATCCTTTCTATCTGTGACCAGGGCTCCCTATGTCTCCTTGTCCTCCTGGACCTCTCCGCCGCGTTTGACACAGTCGATCACGCCATCCTCCTCCACCGCCTTTCCTCCGTCATCTACCTCAGTGGGACCGCACTCGCCTGGTTCGAGTCCTACCTCACAAACCGCCAGCAGTAAATCTGCACAAACAGCTTCTCCTCCCGCTCTCACCTGGTTACCTGCGGGTACCCCAAGGATCCATCCTTGGCCCCCTCCTCTTTCTGATTTACATGCTCTCTCTTGGGGATGTCATCCGCAGACATGGGGTACATTTCCCCATGAATGCAGATGACACCCAACTCTATTGTGCCACCTCTCTTTGAGACCCCGGTCCCCTGATGTTCTGTCAGGCTGCCTGTCAGACCTCAGGGGCTGGATGAGCGCAAACTTCCCTCAGCTGAACGTTGACAAGACGGAAGCCATACTCTTTGGCTCTCGTCAACGTCTAAAATCTCATGGCTCTCACCTCCTCCACCTATCCAACCTCCCCCTAAAACTCTCCGTACGCAACTTAGGAGTCAGGTTCGACCCACAATTATCCTTCCTCCCCCACATCCGGCCCCTTACCAGCACCGCCTTCTACCACCTCCGACGCTTCGCCCGTCTCCGCCAATACCTCTCCCCAAAAGCCGCTGAAACCCTGGTCCATGCCTTTGTCGCCTCTCGGGTGGACTACTCCAACGCCCTCCTCGCCGGTCTCCCGTTCACTAACATCCATAAAATCCAAATCATTCAAAACTCTGCCGCCCGCATTCTCACCCACACGAAACTCCGCTCCCCGATCACCCCAGTCCTTGCCACCCCTGGCTGCCTGTCCCAAAGAGGATCAATTTCAAAATCCTCACCCTTGTATTCAAATCCCTCCACTCCTCTGCACCCCCCTACCTCTCTGACCTCCTCTCCTCAGCACAGTACCCGTTGCCTTCGTTCCTCCGGGTCTTGCCTCCTCCTTGTCCCCCGAGCCCTCCGCTCCACCCTCGGTGGCCGTGCCTTCAGCCACTGTGCCCCGAGGCTCTGGAACTGCCTTCCTCACTGCCTTCGCCTCACTCCCTCCCTTCCTATTTTCAGGTCTCTGCTGAAGACCTTTTTTTTCGACCGCATCTTTGGTCACCTTCCTCCCCCTCCCCCCGGCTCGGCCCCGGGATCCTAAACTGTAAAGCGCTCTGAGACGCCGTCCGGCGTGGAGGGCGCTATATAAATCCAAGTTGTTGTTGTTGTTTTCCTTGTGTGCGTTTTCCCTTATCGTATCATGATCCTTCCCACTCCCGTCATATTAGTTGAAATCCTCCGCTGGAGCCCCTCTTCCTTCCTATACCATTTCTGCAGCCACACATTTACCTCTCATATTTTCTGGAGTAATCTTGAGATGACAACCCTTGAGGTCCTGCGCCAGGGAGTGAATGGATTTGAACACGAGTGTGAGGATCTTGAAGTCGATCCATTCGGTGTTGGGGACCAGTGGAGCTTGGCCAGAACTGGTGAGATGTGGGTATGGAGTTTGATCTGGGTAAGTATGCTATGCGGGAGGCAGAGTTCTGAATGAGTTGAATTTTTTGAATAGTGGAGCTGGGGAGACCAGTGAGGAGTGTGTTTAAGTAATCCAGGCGGGAGGTGACAAACACAGGCATTAGGGTTTGGGCTGAATTTGGGATAAGGTACAGTCAGAGGTGAGCAATGTGGCAGAGGTGGAGCAAGACCGTCCTGGTCGGGGGACCAGATGTGGGGGAGGAAGGACAGCTGGGGGTTGAACCGGATGCCTAGATTGTGCACTGATTCAGTGAGTCTGAAGGAGAGCCCAGGGAGGTTGAAGAGTTTAGATCTTCAGAAGTGAAGATGTTGACGGGAGCCAAGGAATATGGCTTCCATCTTGTCCACATTCAACTAAAGGAAGTTTGCACTCCTGCCAGACAAGCTGATAAAACGTTGGCGGACCTGAAGTTGGTACTGGAGGAGGCAAAGTAGATTTGCATGTCATCCGCAAGCATGTGGAAGTTTAACCCGTGTCTGCGGATGATATCACCCAGAGGGAGCACGTAGATGAGGAAAAGAAGAGGGCCAAGGATTGAGCCCTGGGGTATCCTGCAAGTGACCGGGTGGGGGCGCGAGGAGAAACCATTTGCCGAGATGAAGTGGAGGCAGTTTGTTAAGTTTAAGACACACACTCAAAGTCACACAGATGCAGTCTCACAGTCACGCAGACACAATCTCACAATCATGCAGACACGCATTCGCACAGATACACAGACTCACAGTGTCACAGAGAATCTCACAGGGCCACAGTCCCACAGGGCCACAGTCCCACAGGGACACAGACTCACAGGGCCACAGTCCCACAGGGACACAGTCCCACAGGGACACAGAGAGTCTTATAGGGGCACAGTCTCACAGTGACACAGTCTCACAGTGACACAGTCTCACAGGGACACAGTCTCACAGGGACACAGTCTCACAGGGACACAGTCTCACAGGGACACAGTCTCACAGGGACACAGTCTAAGACACAGTGACACAGTCTCACAGACACAGTGACACAGTCTCAGTGACACAGTCTCACAGTGACACAGTCTCAGATACAGTGACACAGTCTCACAGTGACACAGTCTCATAGACACAGTCTCACAGACACAGTCTTACAGTGACACAGTCTTACAGTGACACAGTGTCACAGAGAATCTCACAGGGCACAGTCCCAGAGGGGCACAGTCCCAGAGGAGCACAGTCCCACAGGGACACAGAGAGTCTTATAGGGGCACAGTCTCACAGTGACACAGTCTCACAGGGACACAGTCTCACAGTGACACAGTCTCACAGGACACAGTCTCACAGGGACACAGAGAGTCTTATAGGGGTACAGTCTCACAGGGACACAGTCTCACAGGGACACAGTCTCACAGGGACACAGAGAGTCCTATAGGGGCACAGTCTCACAGGGACACAGTCCCACAGGGACACAGTCCCACAGGGACACAGAGAGTCCTATAGGGGCACAGTCTCACAGGGACACAGTCTCACAGGGACACAGTCTCACAGGGACACAGTCTCACAGGGACACAGTCTCACAGGGACACAGTCTCACAGGGACACAGTCTCACAGGGACACAGTCTCACAGGGACACAGTCTCACAGGACACAGTCCCACAGGGACACAGTCCCACAGGACACAGTCTCACAGGACACAGTCTCACAGGGACACAGTCTCACAGGGACACAGTCTCACAGGGACACAGTCTCACAGGGACACAGTCTCACAGGGACACAGTCTCACAGGGACACAGTGTAAGACACAGTGACACAGTCTCACAGTGACACAGTCTCACAGACACAGTGACACAGTCTCAGTGACACAGTCTCACAGTGACAGTCTCAGATACAGTGACACAGTCTCACAGTGACACAGTCTCATAGACACAGTCTCACAGACACAGTCTTACAGTGACACAGTCTTACAGTGACACAGTGTCACAGAGAATCTCACAGGGGCACAGTCCCAGAGGGGCACAGTCCCAGAGGAGCACAGTCCCACAGGGACACAGAGAGTCTTATAGGGGCACAGTTTCACAGTGACACAGTCTCACAGGGACACAGTCTCACAGTGACACAGTCTCACAGGGACACAGTCTCACAGGGACACAGTCCCACAGGGACACAGTCTCACAGGGACACAGTCTCACAGGGACACAGTCTCACAGGGACACAGTCTCACAGTGACACAGTCTCACAGTGACACAGTCCCACAGTGACACAGTCCCACAGGGACACAGTCCCACAGGGACACAGTCCCACAGGGACACAGAGAGTCCTATAGGGGCACAGTCTCACAGGGACACAGTCTCACAGGGACACAGTCCCACAGGGACACAGTCCCACAGGGACACAGAGAGTCTTATAGGGGTACAGTCTCACAGGGACACAGTCTCACAGGGACACAGTCTCACAGGGACACAGTCCCACAGGGACACAGAGAGTCTCACAGGGACACAGAGAGTCTCACAGGGACACAGAGAGTCTCACAGGGACACAGTCTCACAGGGACACAGTCTCACAGGGACACAGTCCCACAGGGACACAGTCTCACAGGGACACAGTCTCACAGGGACACAGTCTCACAGGGACACAGTCTCACAGGGACACAGTGTAAGACACAGTGACACAGTCTCACAGTGACACAGTCTCACAGACACAGTGACACAGTCTCAGTGACACAGTCTCACAGTGACAGTCTCAGATACAGTGACACAGTCTCACAGTGACACAGTCTCATAGACACAGTCTCACAGACACAGTCTTACAGTGACACAGTCTTACAGTGACACAGTGTCACAGAGAATCTCACAGGGGCACAGTCCCAGAGGGGCACAGTCCCAGAGGAGCACAGTCCCACAGGGACACAGAGAGTATTATAGGGGCACAGTTTCACAGTGACACAGTCTCACAGGGACACAGTCTCACAGTGACACAGTCTCACAGGGACACAGTCTCACAGGGACACAGAGAGTCTTATAGGGGTACAGTCTCACAGGGACACAGTCTCACAGGGACACAGTCTCACAGGGACACAGTCCCACAGGGACACAGAGAGTCTCACAGGGACACAGAGAGTCTCACAGGGACACAGTCTCACAGGGACACAGTCTCACAGGGACACAGTCTCACAGGGACACAGTCCCACAGGGACACAGTGTAAGACACAGTGACACAGTCTCACAGTGACACAGTCTCACAGACACAGTGACACAGTCTCAGTGACACAGTCTCACAGTGACAGTCTCAGATACAGTGACACAGTCTCACAGTGACACAGTCTCATAGACACAGTCTCACAGACACAGTCTTACAGTGACACAGTCTTACAGTGACACAGTGTCACAGAGAATCTCACAGGGGCACAGTCCCAGAGGGGCACAGTCCCAGAGGAGCACAGTCCCACAGGGACACAGAGAGTCTTATAGGGGCACAGTCTCACAGTGACACAGTCTCACAGGGACACAGTCTCACAGTGACACAGTCTCACAGGGACACAGTCCCACAGGGACACAGTCTCACAGGGACACAGTCTCACAGGGACACAGTCTCACAGGGACAGTCTCAGATACAGTGACACAGTCTCACAGTGACACAGTCTCATAGACACAGTCTCACAGACACAGTCTTACAGTGACACAGTGTCACAGAGAATCTCACAGGGGCACAGTCCCAGAGGGGCACAGTCCCACAGGGGCACAGAGAGTCTCACGGGGCACAGTGTCACAGACACAGTGTCAGACACGGTGACACGGAGTGTGACAGACACACTGGCGGCTGTCAGGGCCGCTGCTGCAGGACCCGGTGCTGGAGACATACCTTCAATAGACACAACCGCTGATAGTGAGCGCAGCCTCGCGCTCCCCCCTCCGCCATCACCTCACATCACCCCCGGTTACCATCACACACGCACTTCCGCTTCCGGCTCCCGTGCGCGCGCAACCCCGCAACCGCGGTACTGACACCACCACCACCATCATCATCATCAGCTCCTCCCCCCACCATCATCATCATCATCATCAGCTCCTCCCCCATCATCATCATCATCACCAGCTCCTTCCCCATCATCATCATCATCACCAGCTCCTCCCCCATCATCATCATCATCACCAGCTCCTTCCCCATCATCATCATCATCACCAGCTCCTCCCCCATCATCATCATCATCACAGCTCCTCCCTCCTCCCATCATCATCATCATCATCAAGCTCCTCCCCATCATCATCATCATCATCAGCTCCTCCCCCATCATCATCATCATCATCAGCTCCTCCCCCATCATCATCATCATCATCAGCTCCTCCCCCATCATCATCATCATCATCAGCTCCTCCCCCCACCATCATCATCATCATCAGCTCCTCCCCCATCATCATCATCATCATCATCTCCTCCCCCCACCATCATCATCATCATCATCAGCTCCTCCCCCCACCATCATCATCACCAGCTCCTCCCCCCACCATCATCATCATCATCAGCTCCTCCCCCATCATCATCATCATCATCATCCTCCCCCCATCATCATCATCATCAGCTCCTCCCCCACCATCATCATCATCATCAGCTCCTCCCCCATCATCATCATCATCAGCTCCTCCCCCACCATCATCATCATCATCATCAGCTCCTCCCCCACCATCATCATCATCATCATCAGCTCCTCCCCATCATCATCATCATCATCAGCTCCTCTCCCCACCATCATCATCATCATCAGCTCCTCCCCCACCATCATCATCATCATCAGCTCCTCCCCACCACCATCATCATCATCATCATCATCAGCTCCTCCCCCATCATCATCATCATCATCATCATCAGCTCCTCCCCCCCCCACCACCATCATCATCATCAGCTCCTCCCCCATCATCATCATCATCATCATCAGCTCCTCCCCCACCATCATCATCATCATCATCAGCTCCTCCCCCACCACCATCATCATCATCATCAGCTCCTCCCCCATCATCATCATCATCATCAGCTCCTCCCCCACCATCATCATCATCATCAGCTCCTCCCCACCATCATCATCATCATCATCATCATCAGCTCCTCCCCCACCATCATCATCATCATCAGCAGCTCCTCCCACCATCATCATCATCATCAGCTCCTCACCCACCACCATCATCATCATCATCATCATCAGCTCCTCCACCATCATCATCATCATCATCATCATCATCAGCTCCTCCCCCACCATCATCATCATCATCATCATCAGCTCCTCCCCCACCATCATCATCATCATCATCAGCTCCTCCCACCATCATCATCATCATCATCAGCTCCTCCCCCTCCACCATCTTCATCAGCTCCTCCCCCCACCATCATCATCATCAGCTCCTCTCCCCACCACCATCATCATCATCATCATCATCATCAGCTCCTCCCCCCACCACCATCATCATCATCATCAGCTCCTCCCTCCACCATCATCATCATCAGCTCCTCCCCCCACCATCATCATCATCAGCTCCTCCCTCCACCATCATCATCATCAGCTCCTCCCCCCACCATCATCATCATCAGCTCCTCCCCCCACCATCATCATCATCATCAGCTCCTCTCCCCACCATCATCATCATCATCATCATCAGCTCCTCCCCCCACCATCATCATCATCATCATCAGCTCCTCCCCATCATCATCATCATCAGCTCCTCCCCCCACCACCATCATCATCATCATCATCATCAGCTCCTCCCCCATCATCATCATCATCATCATCAGCTCCTCCCCCACCATCATCATCATCATCATCAGCTCCTCCCACCACCATCATCATCATCAGCTCCTCCCCCCACCATCATCATCATCAGCTCCTCTCCCCACCATCATCATCATCATCATCAGCTCCTCCCTCCACCATCATCATCATCAGCTCCTCCCCCACCATCATCATCATCATCAGCTCCTCCCCCACCATCATCATCATCATCAGCTCCTCCCCCCACCATCATCATCATCATCATCAGCTCCTCCCCCCACCATCATCATCATCAGCTCATCCCCCATTATCATCATCATCAGCTCCTCCCCCCACCATCATCATCATCATCATCAGCTCCTCCCCCCACCATCATCATCATCAGCTCCTCCCTCCACCATCATCATCATCATCATCAGCTCCTCCCCCACCATCATCATCATCATCAGCTCCTCCCCCCACCATCATCATCATCATCATCAGCTCCTCCCCCCCCATCATCATCATCATCAGCTCCTCCCCCACCATCATCATCATCATCAGCTCCTCCCCCACCATCATCATCAGCTCCTCCCCATCATCATCATCATCATCAGCTCCTCCCCCCACCATCATCATCATCATCAGCTCCTCCCCCCACCATCATCATCATCAGCTCCTCTCCCCACCACCATCATCATCAGCTCCTCCCCCCACCATCATCATCATCAGCTCCTCCCCCCACCATCATCATCATCATCATCATCAGCTCTCCCCCCCATCATCATCATCATCAGCTCCTCCCCCACCATCATCATCATCATCAGCTCCTCCCCATCATCATCATCATCATCATCAGCTCCTCCCCCCACCATCATCATCATCATCATCATCAGCTCCTCCCCATCATCATCATCATCAGCTCCTCCCCCCACCACCACCATCATCATCATCATCATCAGCTCCTCCCCCATCATCATCATCATCATCAGCTCCTCCCCCACCATCATCATCATCATCATCATAAGCTCCTCCCCCCCACACCATCATCATCATCATCATCAGCTCCTCCCCCACCATCATCATCATCATCATCATCAGCTCCTCCCCCACCATCATCATCATCATCATCAGCTCCTCCCACCATCATCATCATCATCAGCTCCTCCCCCCCACCATCATCATCATCATCATCATCAGCTCCTCCCCCCACCATCATCATCATCAGCTCCTCCCCCCACCATCATCATCATCAGCTCCTCTCCCCACCACCATCATCATCAGCTCCTTCCCCACCATCATCATCATCAGCTCCTCCCCCCACCATCATCATCATCATCATCATCAGCTCCTCCCCCCACCATCATCATCATCATCAGCTCCTCCCCCCACCATCATCATCATCATCAGCTCCTCCCTCCACCATCATCATCATCAGCTCCTCCCCCACCATCATCATCATCATCAGCTCCTCCCCCACCATCATCATCATCATCAGCTCCTCCCCCCCACCATCATCATCATCATCATCAGCTCCTCCCCCCACCATCATCATCATCAGCTCCTCCCCCACCATCATCATCATCATCAGCTCCTCCCCCACCACCACCATCATCATCATCATCATCAGCTCCTCCCCCCACCATCATCATCATCATCATCATCAGCTCCTCCCCCCACCAACATCATCATCATCAGCTCCTCCCCCACCAACATCATCATCATTAGCTCCTCCCCCCACCATCATCATCATCATCAGCAGCTCCTCCCACCCACCACCATCATCATCATCAGCTCCTCCCCCCCACCATCATCATCAGCTCCTCCCCCCCACCACCATCATCATCATCCCCCCCACCACCATCATCATCATCATCAGCTCCTCCCCCCACCATCATCATTAGCTCCTCCCCCCCACCATCATCATCATCATCAGCTCCCCCCCACCATCATCATCATCAGCTCCTCCCCCCACCATCATCATCATCATCCGCTCCTCCCCCCCACCATCATTATCATCAGCTCCTCCCCCACCATATCATCATCATCCCCCCACCAGCTCCTCCCCCCACCATCATCATCATCCCCCCACCACCATCTCCTCCCCCCCACCATCCCCCCCACCATCATCATCATCATCCCCCCCACCACCATCTCCTCCCCCCCACCATACCCCCATCATCATCATCATCATCATCATCCCCCCCACCACCAGCTCCTCCCCCCACCATCATCATCATCCCCCCCACCAGCTCCTCCCCCCACCATCATCATCATCCCCCCCACCACCATCTCCTCCCCACCACCATCATCATCATCCCCCCCACCAGCTCCTCCCCCCACCATCATCATCATCACCCCCACCACCAGCTCCTCCCCCCACCATCATCATCATCCCCCCCACCACCAGCTCCTCCCCCCCCACCATCATCCCACCCCCACCAGCTCCCCACCTCACACCATCATCATCATCACCCCCCACCAGCTCCTCCCCATCATCATCCGCCCCCCCCACCATCTCCTTCCCCCCCACCATCATCATCACCTTCCCCACCAGCTCCTCCCCCCCACCATCATCCCCTCCCCCCACCAGCTCCACCCCACCATCATCCCCTCCCCCCACCAGCTCCCTCCCCCACCACCCCCTCCCACCATCTCCTCCCCCACCACCCCCCCCCACCATCATCATTCCCCCCCCCACCAGCTCCTCCCCCCACCACCACCCCCACCATCTCCTCCCCCCCACCATCATCATCCCCCCCACCATCATCATCCCCCCCCACCAGCTCCCCCCCCACCATCATCATCGCCCCCCCACCATCTCCCCCCCACCATCATCATCCCCCCCATCAGCTCCCCCCCACCATCATCATCCCCCCCACCAGTTCCCCCCACCATCATCCCCTCCCCCCCACCAGCTCCCCACCCATCCACCCCCCCCCAACCAGCTCCTCCCACCAACCATCCCCACCATCTCCCTCTCCCCCACCAGTTCCCCCCCAACCATCATCCCCTTCCCCCCCACCAGCTCACCCTCCACTAGCTCCTCCCCCCCACCAGCTCCCCCCACATCATCCCCTCCCCCACCAGTTCCCCCTCCACCATCATCCTCCCCCCCACCAGCTCCTACCCCCCACCAGCTCACCCCCACCATCATCCCCTCCCCCCCATTTCCCCACCCCACCAGCTCACCCCCACCATCATCCCCTCCCCCCCATTTCCCCACCCCACCAGCTCACCCCCACCATCATCCCCTCCCCCCCATTTCCCCACCCCACCAGCTCCCCCCCACCAGCTCCCCCGCCACCATCATCCCCCACCAGCTCCTCCCCCACCACACCATTATCCTTCCCACCATCTCCCCCCGCCAGCTTCTCACCCACGCACCACCCCCCACCAGCTCCCCCAACCCACCAAGCCCCCACCATCCCCCCCTCCCCCATCATCCCCTCCCCCACCAGCTCCCCCCCACCATCATCCCCTCCCCCACCAGCTCCACCCCCACCATCATCCCCTCCCCCCACCAGCTCCCCCCCCACCATCATCCCCTCCCCCCACCAGCTCCACCCCCACAATCATCCCCTCCCCTCCCCACCAGCTCCCTCCCCACCACCCCCTCCCCCCCACCATCATCCCCTCCCCCCCCACCATCATCATCTCCCCCCCCACCATCATCATCTCCCCACCATCATCCCCTCTCCACCAGCTACTCCCCCCACAATCATCCCCTCCCCCCCCACCAGCTGCCCCCCACACTCCCCTCCCCCCCCCCACTCCCCTCCTCCCCCCCACTCCCCTCCTCCCCCCACACTGCCTGCTCCTCCTTCCTACACTCCCCCCCCCCCACACTCCCCTCCTCCCCCCACACTCCCCCGCCCCCCCCCCACACTGCCTGCTCCTCCCCCCCCACCCCCACACTGCCTCCCCCCCCGTCCCCCCCCCACTACTCTCCTTGTTCGGCTCCTCTCTCGCTCTCCCCCCACCTCATCCACTCATGTTCAGAATTCTTATCCCCATGTGGTTTGTTTTCAGGCCTCACATGACCTCTGTGATCTCCTGAACCTTTTCTGTGCCACCAATGCCCAACCTGCTTCATGTTCCCGGCTCAATCCTCGAGAATTCCATCTTTTTGTCTCTGTCTTGTCCCCTCTATCCTCCCCTCAAAATCTCTCACTTCCTTTTCAGCTCTCGGCTACCTTCTGCCCCCCCACTCCGGCCTGAGCTCTCTGCCAGTTGTATGAAGCGCTTTGAGAGGTCCTCCAGATGAGAAAGTACTAAAGATACAACGTGGCGATTCGTTTTCAGATCTCATTTATTGTCAGTTGGTTAAGATATTTTCTTGCTTTTGTAAAGTTAAGCTGGAGAAAACATCAATCACTTGTCATGAAAAACATACCATTCAGTAGCACCTATTATATATTCTGTAATGTAACCCGGTGGGAGGGCAACTTGACCCTCAGCGCCCTGGGACGTCCTCCTGACGTGAAAGGCGCTATACAAATGTAATTTTGTTATTGTTGTCGCTACTTTGAGCTCTGTGTGATTAGTTCAAGTAATACATTTCTCAGTTTTACATTGCAAACTTCAGTTTGCCCTTTACAAGAAAGTCCAGCTCAGAACGTCAAATCTCATCGACTTCAACTGAGAACTCCAATCTGCCCACATTACAATCCAGTTGTTATAACAAACAGTGGGTCTGTCACACGTCAATTACTACAAAAGGCAATTCCATTGCAGACGTGGAACAAAATTGCTAATATTCGCTCCTTTTGAAACACATATCGTTAATCAGAACTGTTACAACATACATTGCTGTACACCTGTCCTTTTGAAATACCATTACACAAATCAATATCTGCAGGTCAACATTACCCAAAACCTGAACAATTTTAACATAATGTTTGTTGTTCACTTTGAAAGCTGACATTTAAGACATATATTGCACATTTGCACAGAAAATACTTTTAATGGGAAGCATTTGACAGGCACTATTAAACACATGATGAAAGAAAAACAGTGGGACATCTCTAGGGAAACAAGGCAGGGCCCACCAAGGCGGGGTCAGCCAGGGCAGGGCAGGATCAGTCAGGGCAGGGATGGGTGCAGATTGCGTCCTCTCCTCTCTGACCGACTCCCACCATCATGAGCTCTGCAGCTGACAGGGCTGTTTGGCAGGGAACAGCATCCCAGGACAGCACAACCTGACACCTACCCTCAGCGTTGCGTCAATCTGCTTAAACATGTGCGGCAGCAGCACTATGAGGAGGGGGGAATGAGAACCTCTTACAATAGGATCAAAATCAACCAAATGCATTGACTGATGTTAATAACTAGTGACGCTAATAATTCCGGGAGGAGGGGCGGGTGGGTGGTTAAGGATACCTCTATAGGGTTTTGCACTGGCTCTGATAAAAAGCAGCCATTGTGATCAGATAGAGCTGCGGTGATCTCAGGCATTGCTGATGGTCAGAATACCCTGGCGCATCAGTGAAACTCAGTGAAACCCAGCCAGTCAGCTCTAATGCTATCCGAGCTAAACACACACCGGGAATCTTACCATCGCTCTTTTTTAAGGCTTCCTCAGATACCTACAAATTAACCCTTTCACAAAAGGAGTTGGCAGAAGAGCCAACTTCTTTTTCAACTCAAAAAAACTGAAATGAGGTTGAGAGTCACACAGAGTCTTCCCTGTGTTGGTCACTTTCTATCACAAGGTCAAATTCTATCACAAGGTCAATACTTTGAAACTATCATTCAGTAAGCTTCCTTATTGTGTGATGGGACACATCAATTTTGCTGTACACATACTTTGCCTGAGAAATTTCAAATTGCATCCACTCTTGTGTATGAAATACCAATCACAAGCAAGTTTCAACCAAGAACTGCACAGCTAATATGTGCCTTATTAGCTCATTGATATTTTAATGAAAAATAAGATTCCGATTCATAAAATTCTTTGCTTTAAAAAAGGTGCTTTTTCCATGTAATCCTATTTTTAAATATTCACGTTAAAAACTCTTTTCCAAACGTTTAAAAATAATGTTTGCGTAGGAGGCTCCTCAGGTCAATGTCCAGTCATCCTGTTTCAGGTTTGTCACCATTAATGTTCTTGTCATTTTCTTCAGCGTTCATTCGTTTGTACTCTGTATGGAAGAAGATTACAAAGCAGCAGGCTGCCAGGGTGCAAATGCCGGCCATCACAAATGTTGAAACTGTGAATAATAAACGTATAAGAACATTTAAATACTAATAAATGTACATAAATCATTATAAAAAATACAATTGTTTAATAATATGTTAGCTGAAAGTGTTTAGAAGACACAAATCAATTGATTGGTTCAAATGAGAAGCTGAAGACTATAAAAGAACCAGAAATTTATGACAGTTATCAAACTCCAAGATAATACTAATCCTTGCATTTGATACAGTGCCTTATCACATCTTCAAGACGAATCAAAGCACTTTATCTGTAAAGTGAATTGATTGTATATTTTGTGGGCAAAAAGATTCCATAACTGCTTTGAAATCAGTCACTGTTATACACCCCTGGAATAACTGCAAAATTCAACTTGGAAGAGAGCTCATGTTACTGCAACTTTATTAATGTAAGAATAGTAATCTTTGCATTTGATATTACATCTCATTGTCAAAACAAAACTTCAGAGTAGTTACTGTGACAGCCAATTTATACACTTCAATGTTGCACAAACAGTCAGGAGATGAAAGACCAATTTATCTGGGTGATTCTTGGAATAGGTTCTTTAACATCCACCTGAGCAGGCAGGCAGCATTTTGGCTTAACATCTCATTCAAAGGATGGAACCAATATCAAGAAGATCCTGCAACATTTTACAATTGAACATATCTTCACAGAACCCAATTCTGAAATAACACCAGTCACCTGCAAAGTGCTATCCCACCCACAGTAGTGTAAGCAGACTGGGAACATTCAGAATGTAATTAACAGGATTATTAGAAACAAGACCATTTTAAATGTTCTATTTTGACAACAGATAATTCCCTTCAAATTCAGAAAATTAAAAAGTCTTCTTTGATTTGTTTTCAATCCTACATTCCATCCTACATGCAGCTACATATTCAGATATTAATGGTACAGAATGTGAGCAAAGTTAAGGGCAGATAATAATAATAATCCTTGCATTTGATATAGCGCCTTATCACATCTTCGATCTCTTAAAGCACTTCACAGAATATACTAGAAAATACATTGACTGTATATTTTGTTGGCGAAACGCAGCAGCCAATTGCGCAGAGCAGTATCCTTCAAACAGTTGTGGATTGAGTGACAAGATTATTGTTGTTTAGTTAGCTTTTGAAGAGATTATTACCCCCAGAAAAGCGATCTGCAATTATCTACTGCTAGGTAAACAGAGGCATGGTGAGTGAGGAAACTTGCCAAACGTTTGGCACATCCTGGGAATCAAACCAGGTTCGCTTGCTTGCAAGGCGAGTGCTTTAATCACAGAGCTAAAGAACTCCATGCAGATCACAATCATTGAGGTTTATCACCTTGACTTTAGATCCTGGCTCAGCTTGAGCTTCAGTTTTAGTATAATTCACAAAAATAAGGATCTTAAACTATAATTTGCCATTTCAACTATCTGGTGCATTTGATATGGAACATTATAACAATAAAACTTGCATTTGACAAGTGCCTTTCACATCAGGAGGATGTCTGAAAGCGCTTGACAGGATTTACTGTAGGGGATCTTTAAAGTCCACCTAAATAGTTAGACAGAATCTAGGTTTAACATCTCATTTGGAGGATGGCACCTCTGACAGTGTACCCTGAACACTGCAATGAATTACTTGTCTGGATTGAGTTCAAGGTTCTAACATGGGCTTGAATCCACACCCTTCTGACTCATAAACACCTTGAAAATAAACATTTAATACACAACTGCTTCTCAGTTTTACGTGAATGTAAGAGGCCAGTGCTCTAAGACATGACCCCATGTGAAGATTGCTGTACGAATGCAAGTTGTTTTTGTTTTTGAACGATGTCTGCAGAAAAAGGACTGCACCTTCACTGTGTAACTTACAATTTCATATTATAGGTACCACCAGAAAGAAGGGAATTGATCTATTGCAATAGATGCTCACTTTATTAATTTAATGATTTTGAGCCACCAGTATGTCTGATTCGTCTCCTGCACAGTTTGTTGATAAACACCACGTTTATGACTTTAAACTTTTACAGACCTGTTTAGTGAATAAGCAGTTTTAGCAAAACAAATTCTGTCCCACTTAACAGGAGATTACCGTGAAACACAACTGATCCTCCTATCCTCCACATGGTGGGGGGGGGGGAAGGTAAGTGGGGTCTCTGAACTGGCTCCAAGGTGACATGCTTGGCAACGGAATGTCAGAACTGAGCCAGCCCTCTGCGGCAGTCTCTAGTTCGGCTCCGGAGCCAGATGGGTCCACAGTATCCCAGGGCACTGCTGATGACAGCGCAGCCCATCGGCAGGAGCTGGAAGGGCAGACCACACTAGGGGCAGGGAATCATCCACTCAGCTCCTGCAAGCCAAAGCCCTAATGGGTAGGGTGGTCCTAGCTGGACAAGCAGTGGGAAAGCTTGCCGGACAGCACTATCAATGGCAACCAATGTGGTTTTAGCTGGTTAGACTCCAGCAGTTACCCCAACGCACACTCTGGGGTCCCCAAGCTTTGGCTCTTGCCAACCTGAGCCTAATACTTTCCAGAATCAGGTAAACAGGATGTGTCCCTCCAGGAAGAGAGTGCACATTCCATACCAATAATCTATCTCTGGGATTTCCACATGTATGGAAATCTCGGCTTAGTTTGGATACTCTTAAGCATGGTGATCGGTTTCCACATGTGTTACCCTGCTGAATAAAAAAATTTTTTTTTTTCTTTTGTACAATTTCTTACAACTTTCAATTGCAGTGGTGTTTTGTCAAAGTACTTGATATTGGTAATATTTATAACTTTAGTGTGGATTCTGATGATAGTAAATGTACTTCATTTTGGTCCTTTAACATTTTTTTTCTGGATAAATAGTGAAGTACTTGAAATAATCCTCATTACTATATGATGGTCTTATATTGTAACAATCTGTAATTATGAAGTGTCCTTTACACAGGATAATGTCTCGCAGCACTGATTACAGTACCCCATCAGAATTATTTATTATGAAACAAAAGAGTAACTAACCTGTCCAATCTAATACCTTTCCTGGTTCTACTTCGCAAGTTGAGAACAAACCATCAGTTTTGACCGGCTGGGCAAGTGCCCTGAAAAGAGCAATGAATAAAGCTCCTTGTAGTTGCCTGTGGAGAAAAAGTGATGATAAATACAAGTTCAACCAGATGAACTACACCACACAAGCAAAAAGGCCTAGTCAGACCATTTATTGCAACGAAACTCAAATTATGGTATGAAAAGGAATTGGAATTGTTATTATACTGCTATTGATGTGAAAGGCACGGCATTGATGTAAACTGTATTGTACAGGTATCTCACTCATATTGAACTATGTTGTGGAGTCTCGAGTTCTGCACATATTATTGTGGGAGCCGGAAAAAAGTAATAAAGTTTTAAAGAAATAAGAAATAGGCAGGAAAAGGTAGCAAAAACAGTAGTAAAGGAAAAATGGTAAAAGATGAAATGGATAGCAAGAGAATAGCAAAGAAATACAATTGGAAAGATGATAATAACAGGCCAACTACAAGTAGTTTAGAAAAAAAATGTTGTTTGCATTCCTGTAATAATTTTAACTTAAAGGTTTAAGTAACTGGATCACTTTTTTTCCCAATATCACTGGGGATGAGCTGAAAAAGTAATGAACTCTTTGCCCAAAGACTCCTATCAACAGCCTGTTGGCAGCCTAAGGTTTAACTGGCTCTATTTCAGTTCTTCACACAATGGTGGGGTACAAAGTTGTGGTGAGAAATACAGCTGAAATAATTAGTGCAAAAGCCAGTTTGATTTTTAGTCCAGTTGCTCATGTAAGTTTCAAACTGCATCTTGGAGTGGCAAATCTGGATATTCGAGTCAAATCAATCTAAAAAACTCAAATCGCTGCCAGCCCACTCAACCCTGTGTTTTTGCTCAGTATTCCTGGGGCAAATTAATTATCATTGTGGAATGAATACTTGACTACAGATCAAAATAACTTATTCTCATTTAATCACTGGTGAGATCACATTGGAATATTCTGTGCAGTTTTCTGCCCTCTACCAAGGACAGTGGAGAGACAGAGCTCGGAGAATAGAAAGAGAATAGAAAGGAGACTAGAAAAATACAGTAATACAGAGGGCAAAGAGGGAACACAAGATAAGGATAATGGCTAAGTTTTTAAAGAAATAGGTCATTTCCGTTTGTTTGGTAAAGCGGCTTTCATATCAGAAGGATGTCTCAAAGTGCCTCCCGGATTTAATGATAAGTCTAGTGGCTGCTTATTTCCTAGGTGTGAATACAGCAGCCAAGTCGTGCACAGCAATGGCCGTTAACAACAACAAGATTGCATTTATAGAGCGCCTTTCACGTCGGGAGGATGTCCCAAGGCGCTGGACAGTTAGGTCGGGACCCGAGCAGGGGGGAAATGGTCAGGGTGAGGGGAGGGAAGGGAGGGAGCGAGGAGGGGGTAGAGAGTCGAGTGGGGAGGTGAAGGCACGGTTGAAGAGAAAGGTCTTGAGACCGGCCTTGAAGGAGGAAAGGGAGGAGGCGGCGAAGGCACTGGGGGATGGAGTTCCAGAGCCTAGGGGCTGAGAGGCTGAAAGCCCGGCCACCGATGGTAGGGCGGTTGGGGCGGGGGATGTGGAGCAGACCGGAGCCAGAGGAACGGAGGGTACGGGCAGGTAGGTAGGGGGATAGTAGGTTGGAGAGGTAGGAGGGAGCAAGGCCGTGAATGGCCTTGTAGGTGAGGATGAGGATCTTGAATTCGATCCTCTGGGGGATGGGGAGCCAGTGGAGGCGAGCGAGGGTGAGAGTGATGTGGTCCCGAAGCCTGGTGCGGGACAGTACACGAGCTGCAGAGTTCTGAATGACCTGCAGCTTGTGGAGGGAGGTGCCGGGAAGGCCGGCGAGGAGAGAGTTCCCATAGTCCAGCCTTGAGGTGAGGGGTGAGGTAGTGCAGTAGTCTGACGATATTCCGGAGGTGATGGAAGGCGGTGCCAGTTGTGGTGCGGATATGAGGAAGAAAGGACAGCTCAGGGTCGAACAGAACGCCGAGGTTCCTGATGGCTTTGAGAGGTGGAGAGTGCAGCCTTGGATGCTGATCCTGTCAGCGCCTGAGGTGAGGAGGCGCTGACTCGAGCCAATCAGGAGGGCCTCAGTTTTGCGCACGTTTGAAATGAGTGACCAATTTTAGCTGGGGAAGGTTGGCCAGGATACCAGGAGAAAATTCCCTTCTCTTTTCAAATAGGGTCGCAAGATCTTTAACGTCCACCTGAACAGGCGGGTGGGCCCTCGGTTTACCATCTCATCTCCCTTGGCAAGTTTTATCTCATCCATGAAGTACATGCATTTCCCATTCTTACTTCCTATGTGCAGTATCTTGCATTTATTAGTATTAAACTTCATTTGCCAGTTATCAGCCCATGTGCATACCCTATCAAGCTCTCTTTGTAAGACTTTTGCTGACTACACTGATTCCAGTTTCCTTCAACTTGGTGTCACCTGTAAACGTTATCTTATACCTGATCTGGAAATCCAGGATATTAATAAATACAAAAACATTAATAAATACAGTTTAGACTCCTTAGGCATCTGGTTTAATACAGGATTTTGCTCACTTCCCCAACAAGACCTTCTACTTCCTTCCCTTCAAGCAAATCTGAACTCATGTCTAAGTCATGCCCTTTATACCCAATGACCTCAGTTTGTGAAGCAGTCTTTCATGTGGTACTTTACCAAACATCCTTTGAGGTGTAAATACAATACATAATATGGTTTTCCACTATCATCTCTTCAAAGATGTCAATGAGGTCAGTCAGATGCAAAATACTGCCCAAACCACTATCCACACTCTCTCAGTCTCCTGCTTCTTTGCGTCTATAGTCACCTCCCCCTTTCCCTTCTTCCCTGTCCAATATCCAATCCCATCTTTGTAAAGCACTTTGAGAAGTTATATTTTGTAAAAGGGCACCATATAAACCAGGTTGTTGTTGTCTAATACGATCTATCCTTTCTGAACCCATGCTGGGTTTCATTTATTTAACAGTAATCTTTCATTTTCTTTCTGATGATTTCCATAACTTTTTATCTATTGAGGTCAGGCTGGTTGTGTCACCTTTCTTGAATATGGGAACAACATTTGCCTGCTTCCAATCTATTGCAACCTCGCCAGTGGGTAATGACTCCCTCATAATATTTGTCAGTGCTGTAGATAAATGATTGTGCCCGATGTGAGACATCACTAGGCACAGATGGTTTCCATCCAAAGATATTAAAAGAGTGAAAAAATTATAAATGTTTTAATTATAATCTTCTGAAGCTTGCAGGATTTCATAATTAAACCAGAAGATTGGAAAGTAGCAAAACACCATTATTCAAGAAGGGAGAAAGGAACAAATCAAGAAAGTATAGATCTATGAATTTATCATCAGTTCTGGGCAAATGACTGGAATCCATCATCAGGATAGAGTAACTGGATAAATATGTAAACATTACGGAAAGTGAGGATGGTTTGGTGAAAGAAGCATCATGTCTCACAAACCTAATCGAGTTCTTTGATAGAATACCAGATGGTAAATAAAGAAGGATCAATACATGTCATTTTATAGATTTTCAGAAGCCATTTGATAAGGCACCACATAAGGGATTGCTTACTAAAATTAAGACTCATGAAACTGAAAGATATGACAAGGATAGGAAATCAGTTGGAAAGTGGGAGGTAAAAGGCAGCTAATGGGGATTAATGGAATATTCTCTGACAGGTAGGAATATTCTCTGATGGATAGAAATAATGGTCTTAATAATCCTTGCATCTGATGTAGCGCCTTATCACTTCATTGAGATGTCTCAAAGGGCTTCACAAAATATATTGTGTAGTGTATCGACTATATTTTGTGGGTGAAGTGCAGCAGCCAATTACATACAATTGTGTCCTACAAGCAGCCATGAAGTGAATGACCAATTTTATTAATTACTTATTTAATAAATCTTTATTTATTTACTTAATAAATCTTTATTTATTTTTAAATATTTATTTATTAAATATTTATTTAATACATATTTATTTATTTAATAAAAAAAATCTATTTATCTTTTCATTTATCTTGGAGGTATTATTACCCTCGGAAAGCTATCTGCCAGGCAACTAACAACCGGGTTCCAATTTACTGCTAGGTAAACAGATCCCTTTCATACATATTACCTGGAAATAGGAATACAGGGGAATATTTTAGTTACAGATGATATTAAGTATCTAAGATGATACTAAACTGTGAGATTTACAAACTGCAGAAGATAATGGTAGGACAGATTGAGGGAGGGGGCAGAAATATTGCAGATCAACAAATTACAAGATTTGTTTGAATGAAAATGGCTCTTTGCTCATCTGATCTCATCCTTCCAGAAAACCCACCCACTCAACAACAACTTGCACTTATATAGCGCCCTCCACACAGGATAGCTTCTCAGAACGCACTGTCCTCCCATCACAGCATCAAGCTGCTCTTTAAATAAATCCAGTGTCCCGGATTCACAAACCTAATAAAATTATTTAACATTTCCTTATAACCTGTGCCAGTTAATTACCCTCAACAAATCCACTCTTTGACAGCCTGTGACAACAGAAGAAAAGGGGATTTGTATAAAGCCCATCAAGAAGAGGAAAAGCAAAGAGAGGAAAGTCAAGAGAGACGGGAAGAAAATGTAGTATAACTAAAGATTAATACCAATTACCCAGATATGAAGATAAATCCTGCAGAGGTTGCTTCTCCAACTGGGTAGGAACATTCCACACCTAGCTCCATGCTAACTGGATAGATTGAAAATCCAAACAATCCAAAAAGGGAACACACTATAGGCAGTGCATAGAACTGTCCCCTCAAATGAGATACCTGAAATTGTACGAAATAGTTAAATTAGCTTGTTTCAAAACATATTTTCAGTATGATCTTTCTTAATCAATCATTGTATGCCAAATGCATCCCAATATAAGACAAATCCTGCTATAATATGCTTTACCGTCTACAGAATGAACAACCATTTATCTTAATAATAATCCTTGCATTTGATATAGCGCTTTTCATGTCAGGAGGACGTCCCAAAGCGCTTCACAGAACACACTGTAAAGTGAATTGATTGTATATTTGTGGGCGAACGCGGCAGCCAATTGCGCACAGCAATGTCCCACAAACAGTCGTAGATTGAAAATGACCAATTTATTATTGTTTTGTTTTGGAGGGATTATTATTAGGCTCTGTGTAGAATAAGGAAACTTGCCCAAGGTTTCGCCCTGCCTGGAATTGAACTCAGGTCTCTCACTTGCAAAGCGAGTGCTCTAACCACTGAGCTACAGGACTCTTGACAGAGCACAGGAGGGTAAACCATCCAGCCAAATCACAGCTTTGTAAGAATAAAACACAGAGCAAGCCAATTTAGCCCATCAAGCACTCATTCTACCACGTAAAGACTACTCAGTCAGACATCAGATCACCAAAGGCAGTCATATGAAAATGTCCAGTAGTTTCGAAGGCAAAAGTAATAAACTCTGACTTATCAACATTCTTGCTAAGTCCATCAATCAAAAGGAATAGTAAAATTTTTTGTAATTCCCAAAATAAAAACTTAGGTAGTTTTTTTTATTTTCAGCGTCTGATTTTCAGTAAAAATGTGAGAGAAGGCAGAGTAGATTAACACACAAAAAAGGGTAATAATGTGAATATTATTATTCTGACCTGAGAGTGTGATTTTGCCATAGAATAAGTCTCATGGAAAAATGTTTTCTCTCGTCTGGACCAACAATAGTTATGTTGGCAAGCAAGAAAATGAGGTAAAATTATATATTTTTAAAAAACACTTAAAATATCAATTTCAGAAAGTAAAATTTTGCATTTTTTTAATAATCATCCAAGGGCACACAAAATATATGGTAAACTGAACTATTAAGCCACAAACTCTCCTATTAAGTCAATTTACATAGTTCACAACAAATTGTCATGCATGGTAACCACACAAAACTGTATCATTCAGTGGGATGGCAGAAACATACAAAACCATTTTCTCTGCCTAATCCATATCTTCACGCTGTCACACCTCTCAGTACATGTCCTGTGTCACACTATTCATTGTGTGCCCTGTGTCACACCACTCATTGCGTGCTTTCGTGAAATATTTTAAGTTAAGTTACACACTGTGAAGAAATAATCAGTCAAAATCAATCAACATTCTTCCGCACTAGTGGAATATGAAGGGAAATTCCTCTCTCCCTACTGCAACAAGGGTCCCTGTGAATCTAGATGCTGTAACACTGGCTCTGAGAAGTTTAAAACTTAAAAGGTCCCTGGAGCTGCCTCCTCTCCTGTTATTTCTCACAGTAATAAAGACAAAGGTAACATCAGAAATGTACTCACCAGTGCAAAAGCAATGCTGGCTAAAGCAGTTAAACAAAAGTTAATTTTTGTGGATTCCACAAAGTTTTTCGTCCTGTCCACATACAATCCAAGGAAGAAAGCAGCAGGAATTCCACACACAATGAATAAAGCTCCACACAATCCAGCAAAACTCTGTAAAAGACAAAATGTAGATTACAGAGCTTTGAAACAGTAAAAGTGATGCAGAAATGAAAAGCCAATAAACCAGTTGAAGAAAGGCCAATACAAACTACAATGCATTCACCTTAACTGAAATTATCTTTACAAAATTGACATAGTACATGCTGTGCTACAGCCACCTACCTTTATAGATACACTCTGACAGCCAGAGATACTACCACTTGCATTTACATAATGTCTTTCATATACAAGAAATTGTGTAAAGCTCTTTACAGAATTAAAATAATTGGAAATTAATGTAGGCAAACAAAACAGCTAAATTGCCATCACAATATCCTGAAACAAAACAGATGAGTAACCAATTAATTTGAAATTGAGGTGATTTTGGATTAGGAGAGAATATAAAGCAGGGGCTCCCTTAATGACACCTGGATCTAAAGGGATAAGGAACCTAAAATTGGCTTTAAGTGCAGAAGAATACAATATAAAAGTAAGGACATAATATTAAATTTATATAAAACCTTGGTTAAACTACATTTGAAGTCCCATGTGTAGTTCTAGTCACCATATTACAGGAAGGATATTGTAGTGTTGACGAGAGAACATTATAGGTATATAGAATGTTATCAGGAATGAGTGGATCCAGCTATCAACTACAGCTATCCAGATTGGATCTTTTCTCTTTAGAGTTGAGATTATTTAGAGGGGACGTGATAGAACTAAGTAAGATTATGAAATTATTTAATAGAGTGGACATTAGTAGGCTGTTTCCACTTCTTGGCAAATCCAAAATGATGGGCATAAATATAACAACAAAATTACACTTGCAAAGTGCCTTTCACGTCAGGAGGATATACCAAGGTGCTGAATAGTCGGGGATTAGGACCTGAGCGTGGTGGGGGTTGGCATGATGGAGGGCAGGTGGGGTTAGGAGGGCGGCTGAAGGCACAGTAGAAAAGGAGGGTCTTGAGTCATGCCTTGAAGGAGGCAAGAGAGGGAGCAAGGCAAAGGGAATGTGGGATGGAGTTTCAAAGGGTGGGGGCAGAGAGGGTGAAAGCCTGGTCACCGATGGTAGGGCAGGTCGGGCGGGAGACCTGGAGCAGGCCAGAGCCTGCTGAACGGAGGGAGCGGACAGGTTCATAGGGGGTCAGCAGGTCAGAGATGTAGGACGTGGCAAGGCCGTGGAGGGCCTTGAAAGTGATAAAAGCCCTTTGGCCCATCCAATCTCATCCCTCCAGAACACCCACTCTATCTGCTCTGCATCATTGGATCAACCTACGTTTTAAATGAGCCCAGTGTCCTGGCCTCTTTCAAATTTCCTGGCAACCTGTTTCAGTCATTTCTCCACACTCAGCAGGCTCCAGCCTGTTCCATGTCCCTCGCCCGGCCTGCTCCACCATTGGCGGTCGAGCCTTCAGCCACTCTGCCCCCACACTTTGGAACTCCATCCGAAAGTCGCTTTGCCTCACTCCCTCCCTTGCCTCCTTCAAGGCACATCTCAAGCCCCTCCTCTTCGACCATGCCTTCGGTCACCCTCCTATCCTTACCCTGCAGCCCTCCTGATCCCAGCCCCCTGATCGGGTCCAAATCCCTAAGTATTCAGGGCCTTGGGATGTCCTCCCAATGTGAAAGGCACTATACAAATGTAATTTATTGTTGTTGTTGTAAAGATAAACTTCCTACAGTCTATCTTGAAATTGCCTTTTACAACTCTAAATTAATGTCCTCTTGTTCTACAATACATCCTGAAGTATGGATCTGGGATTACCTTTTCCATCTCATTTAAAACTTTATACATCTCCATGCGATTCCCTCTGAGTCGTCTTCTGTCAAGACTGAAGACCCTAGCTCGAATTCAAGATCCTCATCCTCACCTACAAGGCCATTCACGGCCTCGCTCCCTCCTACCTCTCCGACCTACTATCCCCCTACTTACCTGCCCGTACCCTCCGTTTCTCTGGCTCCGGTCTGCTCCACATCCCCCGCCCCAACCACCCTACCATCGGTGGTCGGGCCTTCAGCCTCTCAGCCCCGAGGCTCTGGAACTCTATCCCCAGTGCCTTCGCCGCCTCCTCCCTTTCCTCCTTCAAGGCCGGTCTCAAGACCTTCCTCTTTGACCGAGCCTTCAGCTCCCCTCTCGACTCTCTACCCCCTCCTCGCTCCCTCCCTTCCCTCCCCTCACCCTGACCATTTCCCCCCCTGCTTGGGTCCTGACCTAACTGTCCAGCGCCTTGGGACGTCCTCCCGACGTGAAAGGCGCTCTATAAATGAAATCTTGTTGTTGTTGCTCAAAGTTCATTGCTCTAACACTGGGGATCATTCTCGTTGCTCTCCTATGCACCACCTTTAGAGCCTGAGCAGCCCCTTATTTCACAGTGATCACCCTCCTTGCCCTGCACCCCTCCTGATCCCAAACCCCAGCTCAGGTGCAAATTCTTGACTGTCCAGCACCATGGGATGTTCTCCCCACGAGAGGCGCTGAAAGGTCGGTCGGTCGGTCACATATGATACAGAATTACACATGCTTGTGTTGTAAGTACTGTAAGAAGTAAATGTAGGGATTCAGAATAAAGTAAACTGATGGCCAATTTACAGCAAGCTGCTGCTCGCTTGTTATATCATTGACAAAGTTTGTGTTGTCTCAGTCAGTGTCCAAAAGTCACCACTGGAGGGCATGCTGATTTGTTACATAAGGCTGCACGGTAAAGTGAGATCAACACGGCGTATCAATGATAATCAATCCTTCAGTTATTCTAGACAGGATATCTGATTCTACCAGAAACTGATAATGTTACAGCGAATAAACAGCCTAAAGCCGAGACTTGAAGACATATTTATTGCTCTGTGAATGCATTAATTTGGAAAGAAAGTGAAAAGAATAAATTGGTTAAAATCGTAGGAAGCTGACATGGAAAGGTTGCTGACAATTAAACTTTATTTGTTTTCTGGTATAGTGGAGAATTGTAACTGAGTGGATATTATAGACTTGGATTTTAAGAAAGCTTTCAGAGAAATAATACATCCATGGTTAGTGGATATGGTAGAGCCACAAAATAGGGGATATAGCTGGATTTGGGATAGAAAATTACCTTAAAATGTGAAGTGGGGGGTGCTATAAATGTGAACTTTTCAGGTTAGAAAAAATACATAACTGGTACCTTAGGTCCAACAACAACAACAACATCTAGGCATTCTTTCTCAATACTAATATACAATATACAAATATGCTCTTCTACGTTTGTGTCAGCTAAGCTTAGCATTTTTCTAAGTCAGAAGGATGTGGGTTTAAGCCTCACTTTAAACTGAGACCCCATTTACCTGTTCAGGTGGATGTTAAAGATCCCATGGGATTATTTGAAAAGAGAACAGTTTCTTCCAGTGTCCTGGCCAACAATCCCCCAAATAAAATTGTTTACTCACTCCATGACTGTTTGTGGGACTTTGCTGTGCACAATTAGGATGCTGCATTTGCCCACAAAATACAGGCACTACACTTCACAGTAAATCCTGTGAAGTGCTCTGGGAAGCACTCCCGACACCACATCACCTCTATAATGTCCAATAAGCTTGGAAGAGATAAAATTTACCAATGGCACCCCAAGAGTTAAGTTAGTTTTCAAAGACTGAGATAGCACAATTGCATTATTCAGAAGGGATGCACGACAAAAGATTGTTTCTTGCTCAATAATACACTTATTGCATTGTGATTCAGTCACACTGCAGGGTGCTCAGTGGGGGCGGTGGTGGGATGTCTTGTACGAATCATGAAGCAATGCATCAAGGCATGTTATATAGTTGGTTACACAATTATACAGAGGCAGACTAGACAGAGACTGAGGAAAATAATTTGAATAGTAGCAATCAATCATTGATAATGCATGCGTATACTTTGCACAAATGTGGATGCTAAACATGTGATTGATTCAGAAATAATAATCCTTGCATTTGATATAACGCTTTATGTCAAAGCCATTTCACAGAATTTACTGTTAAGTGTAGTGACTGTTTATTTATAAATGTGCGGCCAATTTTCACACAATGTCCCACAAATAATTCACAAATTCTCAGTCCAGCTGTGACATTTCTTAATAAAAAGATTAATTACTACTGTAATGTATTTAGTTTGGTGTGTTGCACAGTGCAGGATTTCACGGAATGCCAGATTGTTTAAAGGTAATTGTTTATGATAAATATAATTAATATGAAATAATTCCTGCGTTTGATATGATGCTATTAACATCATATTCTCAACTGCTTCTCAGATAATTGCTGCAAAGTGCAAGTGTAGTGAATTTGCATTAATAGGCAAAAATGCCAGCCAATTTGTGCATAGCAATGTCTCATACACAGCCATGAAGCAAACAACCAATTATGCGGAGGATCGTTGGTCAGAATACTGGGGCAAAAAAATGTTGTGTTTGAATCAAAGTCTCAAAGTGGAGTTTAAACTCACAGAGGTGAAGACTGAGCCAAGCTGAAATCCATTTCAACTGGTGATTCCATCATTTAATTAAAGATCAGGAGGTTTGAGTTTTACTGAGTTAGCTAATCTAACTCAGAGCAACAATTGGCTTCAGTGTCCTTGGGCTGGGGAAGGGAAAAATCAGTCAAGGTTTGTATTCCACCAGTATCCAATATCTTTCCCATTACTCAAGGTCAATGTTCACGTGTAAATATTGACCGCATGGGTGAAGTATGTGAGAAGTTTGTGGATCCATATGCCAGTGGATATCCATATCCTCGGGGGGTTACGCAGGGTCTCCTTGGAGATGAACTGGCTCCAAAATAACATGCTTGATAACAGAATGTCAAAATCGAGTCCACATAATGTGGTAGTTTTGGTAGTCCTGTTCCTGAGCCAAGTGGGTCTGTAGTACTCCAGAGCACTGCTGACGATAGCACAGCCAGCCTGGTTTAACAACAACTTACACTTACATAGTGTCCTCCACGCAGAGTAGCGTCTCAGAGCGCTTAACAGTGGCAGAGCCTGACTCCGAGCCGGGGGGGGGGGGGGCGGAATAACGGTAAGCACGGTCGAAAGGGAAGGTCTTCAGGCGGGACTTGATAAAGGGGAGAGGGGCAAGGTGGAGGGATTGAGGGAGAGTATTCCACAATTTTGGGGCACAGTGGCTGAAAGCAAGACCTCCGATGGTGGAGCAGAGGATGCGAGGGACAAGAAATTGCAAGCCAAAGCTAGGGTGGTCCTAGCTGGACAAGCAGTGGGAAAGCTTGCCAGACAGTGATATCAATGGCAAACTATGCTGTTTTAGCTGCCTAGAATCCAGCAATACCCCAACGCACATTCTGGGGTCCCCAAGCATTGGCTCTTGCCAAACTGCGCCTAATACTCTCTGGAATTAGGCAAGCAGGATGCGTCCATCCAGAGAGAGTGTGCATATTCCATTCCAATAAATATCTCTGGAATTTCCATGTGTAGATGGGATGCATGGAAATCTCAGTTTGGTTTGAATACTCTTTAGCATGGTGATAGATTTCCACATATCAAGACACCTGGCTGACCCAGAAAAAAATGCCCCAGTGGAAGGCAAAAAAATGGCCACTTGGGCAGGAGAGGGGAAAAAGTGCCAAGGAGAAAAAAAAAGGAAAACTAAAATATTTACCGAGATGTTACTCTGAGACAAGTAAAAGTAGTCACATTAAAATATCCTCTCGCTGCCAAATCGGACAACTTATTTGTCAGATTAGAAATCATGCATACGAAATAATCTCCCCAGTTAAATGGGTCAAAGGTTTAGGTTGGAACTACTGTGGCATGAGAGGTTCTGAAGCTGTTCTGGGGAAGCACACTGGGGAAGTTGAGGTTGAGGGTGCAATTTTATTCCATCTGTGCTCAGAGTTTGATTCTATTTTGCTGTATGTAGTTAATGCAGAACAGCATCTGCACTGAAGCCTTAGCTTCTGTACCATAATGCTTGCAATGCTGCAAAGGATAACCTACCCTCAGTTCTGAACAACAGCAAGTTCAAAAACTGTGAAATTCAAAACTATAAAACTCCATTCGTACATTAACTATGCAGGTGTTTTCTCCACTCTAATTCCCATTTCTCTGCTCTCTCCCTCATATCCTTTAATATTTTCCTCAAGTATTTATCTATTTCCTTTTAAAATATTATTATGGGATTTGGCTTCAACACCCTTACACAATCTAACAGCCATCAAAACACATTTTTTCTAACCTTACCCACTTGTTAGAATGATTAAATTGGTGATCAGTGGCATCTAAGGAGCTTAGATTCATATTTTTATATCATCTCAGAAAGATTACTTGCACTGACTTTTGAAGTTGTCTGTTTTGTTGAGACTGCTGCAGACAAGTAATGTTGAATTGAACATCTATTTTCCAGTGCTTCGAGACACTACCCTGCATGAAGGGCGCTATATAAATGTAAGTTGTTGCTGCTTTGTTGAGAAAGTGACATGGATCCAGGATTTCACCAGGTACTTGATTTTTTATATACAGAAAACAAGAAAATTACATTTCACAGTAAAATGTCAGGATAATGGCCCAGTTCCCTCTTAACTTTGAGGTGAACCAAACATTCTATAAAATTTAGAGAGCGGGTTCTGTAATAGCTCTGGATGAAAGCAGACAAACTAAAAACATACAAATAATCACTTTGGCACTGGACTTGCTGAGGTCATAAAAACATAAACAGGTTTCAACAATTCTGATATCTGTACCAGAACATGAGCATCCAGAAGCTAATGAGCAATTTCCTCATAACTTTAAATTATAACCTGATAATTGCACTCCTATCTTAACCAGGCCTCAGAAAGTACTCAGGGACAGAGAGGGTCATTTCAGAGCCATCACGTCTCTGCAAGGAGATAAGCAGCATGTGTATTAATAGTTAAAATGTCCCTGTAATATGCTTCATTCTGTTTCCAGCAATCTGCACTGCAAGAAGACTGCACATGTGTTTCAAAGAGGGATAGGGTAAGATAGTTATTTTCACTCTTCAAATTTCCTTCAAATCTATTTTAACCACTTCACCCACGAGTTCCTTTGTTCATAGTCAAGAACCTAGATAGTAACTCCTTCACTTCCTGTTGCTGTATATTTTGCCTTATGCATATTCACTTCACACTTCACTTCTTTAACTTCCCCAGACACATGAATAAAGAGATGAGAAAACACAAAAAGTATAAATATTGGCCTTACGTCAGAGTATCCTTTGACACACAAAATCTGCTGCAAAAGAGCAGAAAAAGCAGTGAAAATTCCGATTCCTCCACCGAACATCGTCATCAAAATGAGGTAGGCCTTGTTCTTTAATAACTATAAGGTTAAACACAAGCAAATAAAACATGGTAAAAAGCTGGCATGTCTCAAATTATCAGGCAACATGTTTAGATCAGCAATGCAGTGACGGCTTCTCTGACAAAAAAACATTTACATAGTTTTCCAGTGGACAGTTTCTGATAAACATCAATTAACCTTCAGTAAAATAGTATATATCAACCTGTAGCTATAGTGCTTTTACATAGGTTAATGTCTCAAAGCTTCACTGAGATGAACCTAAAGCAGGGTGGTGGGAGGGAACGTGACTGAAGGTGATCACAGATGGAGAGGTAGGATTTTAGAATGTTTTTTGAAAACAGGGAGAGATGGCATGAGCTGGAGGTCATTTGAAAGTTCCAGTTTTCCTGTGATGGCTGAAAGCTCGGTCATCGATAGTGAGACAGAGGAGGTGATCAGCTAGAGTGTGGTGAGGATAGGGGTAATGAGCACATCAACTCCAGTGTACGAGAGGGTGTGGAGTTATGGATGAGCTGGTGCTTGCGGAAGGTGGAGCTGGAGCGGGAAGTTGGTTGCTAGTTGGAGAATTCAATTCTAGAGCTGACAAAGAAGTGCTTGAGGACTTGGGTTTATTGGAGTGAGGTAGGGACAGAGGGGGGGGTGAGGTAGGGACGGAGGGGGGGTGAGGTAGGGACGGAGGGGGGGTGAGGTAGGGACGGAGGGGGGTGAGGTAGGGACGGAGGGGGGTGAGGTGGGGATGGAGGGGGGGTGAGGTAAGGATGGAGGGGGGGTGGGGTAGGGATGGAGGGGGGGGTGAGGTAGGGACGCGGGGGGGTGAGCTAGGGATGGAGCAGGGGGTGAGGTAGGGATGGAGGGGGGGTGAAGTAGGGATGGAGGGGGGGTGAAGTAGGGATGGAGGGGGGGTGAAGTAGGGATGGAGGGGGAAGAGGTAGGAATGGAGGGGGGGTGAGGTAGGGATGGAGGGGTTTGAGGTAGGGATGGAGGGGGAGGTGAGGTAGGGATGGAGGGGGGGTGAGGTAGGGATGGAGGGGTTTGAGGTTGGGATGGAGGGGGAGGTGAGGTAGGGATGGAGGGGGGGTGAGGTAGGGATGGAGGGGGTTTGAGGTCGGGATGGAGGGGGCAGATTGTATTCTGGAGGTAATTGCTCAGTTTGTCCCCAACAAACAATTTATTAAGAGTTCACACTACAGAAAAATATAGGAGGCATAAATTTTGTTCCTTGCATTTTAAAATGTTGATACCTTTCTCTAGATTCTTGTGATCATCAATAACAACAATAAATTGCATTTATATAGCACCTTTCATGTCAGGTTGACATCCCAAGGTACTGGACAGTCAAGGGTTTGCAACCGAGCTGGGGGTTGGAATCAAGAGGGAAGGAGAAAGGTGAGGGCTGGGAAAAGGGTGAGGGGTGGCTGAAGGGTGAGGGGTGGCTGAAGGGTGAGGGGTGGCTGAAGGGTGAGGGGTGGCTGAAGGGTGAGGGGTGGCTGAAGGGTGAGGGGTGGCTGAAGGGTGAGGGGTGGCTGAAGGGTGAGGCTGAAGGGTGAGGATGTGGCTGAAGGGTGAGGATGTGGCTGAAGGGTGAGGATGTGGCTGAAGGGTGGAAAAGGGTGACGGGTGGAAAAAGGTGACGGGTGGAAAAGGGTGAGGGGTGGAGAGCAAGCGCGGGGGGTTGGGAGGAAAGACCGAAGGCACAGAAAAGAGGAAGACATTCAAAGAGGTAATGAGGTGGTGAGGCGAAAGGATTCTGGGGCAGAGATCCAGAGGTTGGGGCAGAAAGGTTGAAAGCCTGAATGCTGATGGTAGGGCGGATAGGCCAGGAGACATGGAGCAGACCAGGGCCCTCTGAACAGAGGGTTGGTAAAGGTGTTAACAGGTTGCGGAGTTAGGGACGAAAAAGAAAATTGAGGGTCTTGACATGAATACACAAAATTCAAGCTTTGCATTAGCAACAAGTGTAATAATAGAGACTCACACAAGGAGAGCTAATTTCCCCTTCCCATCTAGATAAGTCCAGTTGAATTCCCACTGCTCCACCATGTCATACGGATTCAGAACAGGAGAGATGAACAGACAGTTCAGATCAAATTATTTGCACAGAGAGTGATGAATATGTAGAAAAGAGACAACCCAGAGAGACAGTGGAGACAGAGTGTGTCAGCAAATTCAAGGGGGAATTCAATAGCTGCAGCATTTTGGTAAATTGAAAAAAGAGCTATGAACGCTACAGCAATGTAGGATTATTCTTTTTATCTTATTACTGTGGGGCTGACCAGAGAGATTCACTGCTCTTTATGGAAATGTATTCTCCTATGTTCCAAGCAGGTAGTTGCAGTGGTGGAGGCGAAATTAGCATCAATCCTCCATTGGAGCCCAAGAAATACTATAGCACTGCACAATGCAACATTAATTCTTTAACAAAAATAGTATAAAAATAACTGTAAATCTAAACCCAACTCCCAGTTGCAGCTGCCATGTTCTCAGTTGAGTACCTAGAAATCCCATTCATCCACAGACAAAATCAGAACATTTGGGAAGTGTCAGTGAATGTGAACATGCAGAACTGTCTTACAATGCATCCAGTGAAGGAAAAAGCTACCCAATGTCACTATTGGTCACTAAAGGAACGTTGCTTCAAAGATTTAGTGGAAGATGCTTTAGAAAAGCTTGCAATTTGTCAAATGTACTGACTGTTTACGTGACCAAACCTGACAGCCATTTGTGTACAGGAAGATGCCACAAACAGATGTGAAGTGAATGACCAATTTATTCAGAGGAATGTTGGCCAGGAAGCCTGGAGAAACTCCTTCTCTTTTTGCATAGTGCGGCCAATCTTTAAAATGTCTAAACAAAGTATTGAATGCATACATGAGGAAAAAGGAATAGAAGGGTTTGGAGTTGGAATTAGGGGAATGGTGGTTTATGTGGAATATAAACACTTAGCACAGACTAATTAGGCCAAAAGGGCCTGATTCAGTACTACAGTCTGCGTAAATTGAATAGGCGGATAGGACCTTGCTTTTTTAAACAACAGTTTACATTTATATATGACTTTTCACATTGGGAAACAACCCAAAGCGCGACACACACTGATGTCTCATCTGGAAGGTAACACCTCCAACAATACAGTGAGTGCTCCCCACTACTGGAGTATCAATTCCCTATGGGTGTTTGAGCACACAACCTTCTGACCCAAGACAAAAGGGTTAAAACTCCTGCCTGAGGAGATTTCACCATGTTACTTTAAGGATTTGACTGTACCTAACCTGGTCATCATCACAATAAACCTTGTAAGCATTACCTATCTTTCTGTAACTGGTACATTGTAGCTTGTGAACTGTGATATGGAGATTTAAGGATGGGTGTTGGTTGCTCATCAGTTCCAAATTCTGGAAACCAATATATTCCATCAGCCAAGCTTGTCTTTGGACATGAATTTAGACATAAATCAGAATACGGCTGTAGCCAATATAATAATAATAATTCTTGCATTTGATATAGCACTTTTCACGTCTTCTAGATGTCTCAAAGCGCTTCACAGAATATGCTGTAAAGTGAATTGACTGTATATTTGTGGGTGAAACGCGACAGCCAATTGCGCACAACAGTGTCCCACAAACAATCGTGGATTGAAAATGAACAATTTATTATTGTTTGGTTTTTTTGGAGGGATTATTAGGCGCGTGGAGTAAGGACACTTGCCCAAGGTTTCGCCCTGCCTGGAATTGAACCCAGGTGTCTTGCTTGCAAGGCGAATGCTCTAAGCACTGAGCTACAGGACTCCACTATGTCAGGACTTGGCCTTATAGTCCAGGGTGTCTCTCTTGTGCAGTGTTGGGGAAGCATTGCATTGTTGGAGATTGTCATCCTTCAGACGAGCCATTGAACCCATTAAGCCACTTCAAATGCTTGTATTGGATATAAACCTTACTTATTCCCAAGTAGTAATCCAGGAAGAAAGTAGAAATCTACATTTCTCATTAAGTTGTTTTAGATTTTACAGTGTGCCCTTTGACCTTTCTTCAGCAGCAACAACCTTTCAAAACATGACAACAATACTATTACACAGGATCTAATAAGGCTTCTAGGTTACTCGCAGAATGAGCATTGAACCTTATGTTCTCTGTTGTTTCATATTAATCAAAGTCAGTTTCATATTAATCTATATGATAGTAGGTCACTTGCTGGATATTTGTAAGATAGTGATTATCAGTTTCCAATTTTCACAAAAGTATACTGGATTACCAATATGAATCTACAACATAAGAAATTAATGAAAATACTGATATAACTGTTAATCAATCCACAAGTTGGAGTTTGTCAGTTTGGGTTTCTGTTATTGTACTTTCTCACATTGGTGGAATAAATTCAGTTCATCCCTTTCTGTCTGCTTTATTGACTGGAGATGCACAGTGATAAGATTAGCAAGACAATTTTCAGACTGCATTTTTCTATAGGGTTTTATCATATTGAAATTTGTAGAGTACATGGTTTATTTTTTAGGGTTAGAGACTGAGATATTGTAGAGATAGAAAGTTAGACTTTCAGAGAGAGACTCAAACATGCACTCAGACACATACAGAAAAGGGCAAGGGCAAAAAAGATCAAAGAGAAGGACTGGCAAAATCAATTTCTAGGGAACATAAAACTGCAGGATTTTCGATTTTATTTCTTGTCAGAAATGAAATCTGCTCTCCATTGCATAAAATCATAAGTGCCATCTTATTGATTTTCACCTAAATATTGTGATCAAATAATTCCCCTGAATTTGGAAAACTTCAAAGTTTAAACACCAAGATTATTACCCAGATAAAATCAGGTCGGTGAATTCCAATATGAGAAATGGAGCAACTGACATTCCCACAATGATTATATTCAACACTTCAATTTGAGGTCAATGAACACCAGTCCAACTTTCCTTTTGAGCAGAGTGGCGTTGACTAAATTAGCCATAATAACACAACATGATGCAGATGGCCGGTCAGTACTGATCTTAAAATACCAACAACAATTTATCAATTCATATAATATAAAAACAGGCCATTCGGTGCTGGCTTGTTTCCCTACAAGAGCCACATAATCCTAGCTGACTGTTCCTTTTTACTCACCAAATTCTTTAACATTCCTTCTATCTAGTTCCCTTGGTGAGTTCTGAAGATGATGTAGATGATCTAAAGCACAATGGCTGAAGCTGGCAATCTGAATAACAACTGACTACAGCAGGATCTAATATATACAGTGATTTCTAATTGGATTTCTAACCAGAATTGCTCTGCCTTGATGTGATCTGCTTTTGGAGTGGGCCAGTGTCACATACTTTCTAGTTCCTAGTAGGAATCCCCACTTGATCTCCTTATTAAGGAATGAAGTAGCAGTTTACTAATGAAGATAGACATGTCTTCATAGAATCTTATTCATGTGAGCAGCACCCAGTGACAAATGGAAATGACAAAACTAATGAGAAATAATATGTAGCAAAATGAGAAACCTCAGATTCTTTCAAAGGGCATGAATCCTCGGTAAGATTTAGTCCCTGTGGACTTGTACCCATTGGATGTAGCATGGGACAAAGACATGTCTGTTGCTTTACACTGTAAATTGAGATTTTACGCTTTGTTCTCTCAGAAATTAGGTCTGGGTTAAAAAGAAAGCAAATGTGCACCAGACGATACATTAATTTATGGCATAATTAGAGGAAGAAGTATAAACCTGAAGATCTTATAATTCCTTACCATTCGCATTCCGGTGAGAAAGGGTTCAGAGGTAGAGTTGAATGCACCAAGCGATGGAGGTGTTGGGGGCACTTTCGTACGAATTCCCACTGATGCAAATAAACAAGCAATAACAGCAGGAACAGAATATACTCCAAGCTGAAAATGCAAGAAAGCAGGTATTCTTCAGAATATTTTCAGAATAGTAATACAAAATGTGGATACACTCCCACTAATTATTAAATGTGCAAGTTTACAGCACCAAAATATGTTGGTACATCCTCACCAGTGTAGCAAAAGATGACTGCCTCGTTACCAGCAAAGGTGAAAGTATATTGGCAAAGAGAATACCCAATGGATTAGCTAGATGGGGGGGAAAAAAGATAGGATATTGATTGTTAGGTTGGATTGCACCACCAACATTTGTTATTACACCACTTGTACTGTGCTCCGTAAACTGCATTATATGGGGAGTATATAGGGAGAGCATTCATCTATAATTGTGATTTTGTTTCCTTCCACTTTAGTTCAGGAAAGCAAAAAGTAGCAGTGAAACTGTGGCTACAGGCTATTAGCTAAAAAGACTGCACCAGGCATTTACCATGGCGGGGTCTGGCATTTTGATTTGTATAAGATTGGAGAACGATAACTTGTGCTCTGATATTTGCTTCACACTAAAATCCTACTCACATTCTAATTCGGATCCAGATAGCTCTTTGAGCCTGTGGCACATATTCTGATGGACCGTCTCTGGGTTGGGTGACAGAACTCACACATTCCAGTTATGATCTGGTGGAAAGTGCACAGGGAATGATTTGCCAGTGACATGAAGGGCTTTTTTTTTTGCAGTGGCCAATCATTTTTAAAACTAGAATTTGACATGAACAAAACCAACGTATTCATTCTTGTTCCTTCCCCAAATACAAATCAAACTTTGATACTTTGTGTTCATCTAGCTTGAGCTCTGTGGATGGAGGTGCCGCGATCCTGCTACAATGACCACTGCAACACACACCGATACCAGAAGGAAAACAAAGTACCTAATTTAACCATGTGAGTGTGTTTTATACAGGGCACAGGAAAAGGAAATAATCTCTGAGCTCAATTGGAAGACATATGGTCTAGAGAGGCAAGCATTGATGAAATACTGAAAGGTAAATTGGTGAAATAAATCTAACTCAGAAATAGTTACTCACCCATTGATGAAATCATGTTTGCTGTTGCTCTCTGCTGTTCTGGAAACCAAAGAGCAGCCAACTTTGTTGGACAGAACAGAACCAAGGGCTGTGCCAGTGCCGACAGAGTTTGACCTATCATCAATACAGGAAATTTCCAGTTGTCTTTGGGTATGAAGAGAGCAACACTAAAGAACTGCACCATACAGCCAGCCATGTTCAGCCATGAGCTTAATATCAACTAAAGCAGAGAAGATGAAAAGTGTTTTCAAATTAATAATGCAGGCTGAGTTAGCATGTCTAAGTCGACACATTGAATGTCCAATTGTTCATGTACTTGTTGCAAGCAGCAATAGCTTTCCTTTTTGGTTTAACATAACACACCTGTGCTTCAAACATCTCCAGAAACATTTTCTTTTGTAATAAATAAAAAATAATCCTTGCATTTGATATAGCGCTCTTCATGTCTTCTGGACGACTCAAAGCGCTTCATAGAATACACTATAAAATGAATTGACTGTGTATTTTGTGGGCAAAACGCGGCAGCCAATTGCACACAGGAGTGTCCCACAGACAGTTGTGGATTGAAGTGATCAACTGTATTATTGTTCTTTTTCTTGAGGGGTTATTATCAGGCGAGTAGAATAAGGAAACTTGCCCAAGATTTTGCCCTGCCAGGAATCAGACCCATGTTTCTCGCTTGCAAGGCGAGTGCTCTAATCACTGTGCTACAGGACTCCTAAATCCTATAATAACAGGGTTAGTGTTACAGTATTTCTTCAATAAAGAATGGAAGTACACCACTCACATCACTCTGACTTAAGAGAATCCTGCCCTAAAAACAGTTTGAGCAGCATTCCCATGAGTTAGTAACACTGACTTAAATCCATTAAGAAATATCACAAAATCGACCCTATAGTTTGTTATTAATAATGTGTAGCTGTTAACCTGAAGTACGTGAATTCTTGAAATACTGTAAATGTAACACAAAAGTACAAAAAGTAATAAATGAAGTTCATGAATATTTTAAATTAATGATGAACATATCTAACAGAATCTAAACAGGCTAAGGGGACATTTCTTTCATTTGCACTTTTAATTTTACGTTCCATAGGAATTAATATTATTGGAGTAATAACAATGTAATAGGATATCTAAAATAAAACAGGATATAGATGCATTAGCAAAATGCACTTAACCACAACATTAATTCTTCCCTTGAAATTTGACATAGTAGATCACAAAAATGCATTCTGATTCTCCATGTTTCTGACATTAAGGTCGCCTGACAAGTTGACACAAAAATAGTTATACATATGTTACACACACACAGACACATGTTAAAGAGGCAATGAGAGATACTATGTACAGGCCGTATTATTTTCATTTCCACAATTAAAGTGTGGATATTGGATTCTCTACTGTACACAATACAAATTTTGGGCTGACTTCATGAGTACAAAAGATATTTTTAATTTTTCATACCTCTAGCACTTCAAAATAAACACATTTTATTCTGCAAAAAAAAGTGTTTAAAATTAGGTGTTTAGAAACCAGATTTGCTCTTCTAAATCCTTATTGTGCCAGGAATGTTAACTTCATTCATCAGCACTGCTATTCAGTGCCAATGGGAAAATATGGCGATTTCTAAAGAAATTTCTCAATGGTTCAAGAGTTACAAATCCAGACTCCTTTTAGTAATCAGAAACGAATCACAAGTCCAGATTCCCAGCCCCCCAACACCCCTGTCCCCAATATATCATCCCTTAATTCCACAATATTAAAATATTTTTTAAAAAATTGGTCAATCTATCATGACTGTTTGTGGGACACTGCTGTGTGCAATTGACCACCGCGTTTTGCCCACAAAATACACACTTTACAATAATGAAGCACTTCATGTCTCATCGACGTGATAAGGCGCGATATCAAATGCAAGGATTATTACTATTATATCAGTAAAATAATCTCTATCATTAGCCACATGTTATCAAGTAGTGATATCTACCTACCGACTTGCATGGACCAGGAAGTAATCAGCTCAACTGGATGATTTCAGCAGTAATTTGATCAGTAAACCCGAGACGCAGTGTTATGGCCTCAAGTCAATTAAATGGTCATTCACCCATTTAAATCAGCGTTAGATTATCCTCCAAAACTTTTATACTCTGGTATAATAATAATAATCTTTGCATTTGATATGGTGCCTTATCAAATCATATCAGGTTAATGCAGCAGCCAATTTGTGAGCAGCCCTGTCCCACAAACAGCCATGAAGTGAATGACAAATGACACCAGAAGGAACTCCTCTTTCTTTTCAAATAATGCCAGGAAATTTTTAACATCCACTTTCACACGTGGAGAGGACTTCAGTTTAATGTCTTACTACTCCAACAATGCAGCACTCCTCCAGTAACTGCATTGGAGTGTCAGCCTTAACAATGAGCTCAACAAGGAGGAAACATCCTCCTGATAAAAAATACGCTATATAAATATAAATTGTCGTTCATGTATTTTGGTTGTAACCCTCAATAGGGATGCAACCAAAATACATGAACAATAATTTGCATTTATATAGTGCCTTTTATGTTAATAAATATAATAATGTTTGCATTTGTTATAGAGCTTTTCATGTCTTCTAGACGTCTGAAAGCGCTTCACAGAATATACTGTAAATTGACTGTATATTTGTAGGCGAAACGCGGCAGCCAATTGCGCACAGCAGTGTCCCACAAACAGTAGTGGATTGAGTGACAACATTTTTATTTTCTTCTTGAGGGATTATTATCAGGCATGTGGAGTAAGGAAACTTGCCCAAGGTTTCGCCCTGATGGGAATCAAACCCAGATCTGCTTGTGAGGCGGGTGCTCTAACCACTGAGCTACAGGACTCCACTGTATTGAGACATCCTCCATGTTAGGAAGATATTTCAAAGTGTTTCACAGAGTTGACTGGAGCCCGGGGAGACATGGATGTAAATTTAGCCAAAAGCAGTTGAAAAGACAAGGGTAGGTTTTGAAGGAATGGTTGAGGCAGAGGTACTCCAGGATGGAGTTCCAGAGAGGAAGTGCAGAATGGCTGAAAGCTTGGCCGCTACTTGTGGAGCAGATCAAATTTGGGGACTTAGTTGGTGAGAGATTATTATCAGGCGTGTGGAGTAAGGAAACTTGCCCAAGGTTTTGCCTTGGGCTGGTGTTTGCTGAGCCAGTTTGGTAGATTTGCAGAAGAACGATGTGGCGAGGCTGTGGAGGGATTTGAACGCGACAATAAGGATCTTCACTTTGAACTGCTGGGGCATGGGGAGTCAGTGGAGCGCAGTGATAATGAGGATGATAGTCTCATAGAGCCTAGTAGGGGAAAGGACATGAGCTGCAGAAATTCTGTAATTTGTATAGGATGGAGCTGGGGTGTCCAGCAAGCAGTGCGTTGGAACGTTGGAATAGTTGAGCCTAAAGGTGAAGAGCCAGATTTAGGATTTGAAGGACAGTTGAAGGTCAAACAGGTCAACAAAGTCATCCTAGAGCTGAGCGGTTAGAGCATTTGCCCTGCAAACGAAAGGACCTGGGTTCGGTTCCTCGGCAGAACAAAACATTGGAAAAGTTTCCTTACTCCATATGCCTCTGTTCACCTAGCAGTAAGTAGGCTCCTGGTTTTTAGTCGTAGGCGGATCACTTTTCTGGGGTTAATAATCCCTTCAAAATAAATAAAAATAATAATAATTTGGTCACTTAATCCATGACTGTTTGTGAAACACTGCTGTGTGCAATTGGCTGCTGCATTTCGCCACAAAATATACAGCCAATTGACTTTATAGTATTTCCTGTGATGCGCTATGAGACGTCTCGAAGACATGATAAGAAGCCATATGAAATGCAAAAATTATTATTATTATTATTGCAGGCCAATAATCCCCCAGTGCCTGAAGTGAGAACCAAACATGCAAATTGTTCAAAAGAAAAACAAACTTACTGCAACTTTAATTCCAAGGGTGTCCAGCAACCATGTCGTTCCAAAGCCAAATGGTACACCAACAATAAGGTAAACCATCGATAGCCAATTGACTTGATCCGTGGAAATTTTGAAATACCTGGCTGTCTCACTTGCAATGGGTGCAAAACACAACCAGTTCTGAAACAAAAGAAAAATAAATCTATGATAATATCACAGCAAACTACATTTAGGGAGCAGTGAAAAGAGTTAAATAAAAAAAAGCTCTGTGCTCACTTTTGAAATCGTCAAATACTGATTGAGTAGTTCCAGATCGACCAATAACAACAACAACAACAAAATTGGATTTGTAAAGCACCTTTCACATTGGATGGACATCCCAAGGTGCTGAACAGTCAGGGATCAGGACCTGAGTGTGGAGGAGCAGGGTTGGGATGTGGGAGAGCAGAGAGGCAGGAGGGCGGCTGAAGGCACAATCAAAAAGGAGGGTCTTGAGTCGTGCCTTGAAGGAGGCAAGAGAGGGAGCAAGGTGAAGGGATTGTAGGATGGAGTTTCAAAGGGTGGGGACAGAGAGGCTGAAAGCCTGGCCACCGATGGTAGGGCAGGTCGGGTTGGAGACCTGGAGAAGGCTGGAGCCTGCTGAGTGGAGGGAGCGGTCAGGTTGATAGGGGGTCAGCAGGTCAGAGATGTAGGGCGGAAGGGGCCGTGGAGGGCCTTGAAGGTGAGGACGAGGAATTTGAATTCTATCTTCTGAGGGATGGGGAGCCAGTGGAGCCAGGTGAGGGTGGGGCTGATGGGGTCGCTGAGCCTGGTGCTGGAGAGGACATGAGCTGCAGAGTCCTGGATGATCTACAGCTTGCGTAGGGAAGATTTGGGAAGGCTGAGAAGGAGGAAGTTTCCGTAGTCGAGCCTTGAGGTGACAAATGTGTATATGAGGGTTTCGGCGGCCTGAGGGGTGAGGCAGTGGCGGAGTCGGGCAATGTTGTGGAAGTGTGGGAAGGGAGACCCGGTCATGGCATGGATATGGGAGAGAAAGGACAGTCGAGGGTTGAACAAGACGCCCAGGTTCCTGACTGGCTTGGTGAGGAGGAATGTGTATCCATGGATGCTGATGCTGCCAGTGCCTGAGATGCTGAGGCGCTGGTGTGAGCCAAACAGAAGGACCTCAGTCTTGCTGAGATTCAGCTGAAGAAAGTTGGCTCTCATCCAGGACTTGATGTCTGACAAACAGTTTGTCTGTCTGACATCAGGTCAATGACATAACACAAACAGCCATGATGGGAATGACCAATTTTACCTTGGGGTTTGCTGGCCACAACAACAGGAAAAACTCCCTGTGCGTTCTTTAACATCCAGCTGAAGATGCAGACAGGACAGGAGGTTTAATGTCTCATTTGAAACACAGCATCACCAAAGATACAACCTCCCCTCACCACACTGTATTGGAATGTCAGTCTAAACTATGAATTCAAAGTCCAGTTGTGGGTTTGACTCCGCAACTCAAATGTGACAATGCTATCACGTGAGAAAGACTGACATACATGAGATATTTCCCATTAATATCAATTACAATTTACAGTTTATACTGGAGGGAGCTAAGTGACCGAAGGCTCATGGGTCATAGCAGATGGTGGGCATCGGCAGGTAATAAACAGATACTTATAGTATATAATAGACCAGACAGAAGTCACACACCATAGACAGAGCCAGACACTATCCACCATGAATGTCAAACTAATCTGACTGCAAGAGTTTGAAAAAAGTTTTTTTTAAAAAATAGTTTAACATTTAAATTTAAGTTCTTTATGATGCATTTACATTAGAAACAGAACTGCTTCAGGAAGTGGTTTTGTAAGCCTGTCTCATGGTCATCATATTGCTGGTAAATTCCTTCACAAATACTTCTCCAAAGTCAAAAGACTGCGTACACTTGTCGGTCTCGGAATGAGACCACTGAACACTACAAATCACATCGAACACAAAGAATACATTGCAGGTCTGGAATTCCTTTCAGCAAACATTTTCCAGCACTGTCAGCTGCCTTATTGAAGTTACTACTACTTTTAATTATTATTATTACTTCTTCAGATTTTTTTTCCGCAGAACTTGCACTTATACAGCGTCCTTCACATGAGGCAGGGTCTCGGGGAGCTTAGCTCAGAAACCAGAATAACAGAAAAACCCCACATGCTTAAATTTGATTTATTGTCACCTGTGCAAATAAAAGCTATTTCCTAACAACCCAATGATAAAGTGTCTTCATAGAAAACACCTCAAATTTCTAAACCTTAAAAAATAATCTTCGGTCAAAGGTACACTCTACAATAGAAGGTTTCTCCTCAATTCTTTGACAATTAATTGTAAAGTGCGAATCACGTTTAGAAAATGTTAGCACCAATTAAAGTGCCAAAAAGCAAGTGTAACTGGACGTATCCAGGTTTTGTCTAAGACTCACGATAAGGTTTAGACAATTTAGTGACTTTTTAACAAAACAATATATGTTGGTGTTTTTCTTGGTTTCAGTCAAGAAACCATCATTAGTGGACTTCATACAAGCTTCAATGACCTGAAAACCTGAGGATGTTTTACTCTAGATGAGCTACATTGCAGGTCAGTGACACCAAATGTTAAAGCAGCAATTTTACTCGACACTCACATAAGAACACATGATTCATCAGGTCACAAGGCTCCAAAGTCACAAGACTGCATACACTTGTCGGGCTCGGCATGAGACCACTGAACACCACAAACCATACGGAACACAAAGAATGCATTGTAGGTCTCAAATTTTTTGCAGCAAACATTTTCCGGCATTGTCAGCTGCCTTATTGAATTTACTGCTACTAACTCCTGTCACTTTAGCCACCATATCCTACGCTGCAGCTGTAACAGTTTTTTCTCCCTCCCCGTTTGAAAAGCAGGATCAGAACACAACAACATATTTAGATTCAGCCAAAGGACAAAGAGTATACTACTGAATAACATTTTTACTCGGTCACAATTGTATACCGAAAGATTCCATTGTAAGGCAATTTAATAGTTATACAGTGCAACTGGACTTGGGTTTTCCTTCCCCCTCCTCGAATTCTAACTCTTGGCTTTATCAACGTCTGAGCTAATAGGTTCTTCTCCCACCCGTAATAAACCTTTTCCTCTGATTCATTTTGCAAAGCAATTCATCATTCATTATGAATATGCAAGATTCGTCAAATTTGTTTGAGACAAGTACAACATGGGATAGAACAACAAGAAAAATAGGAAGTTAAGGACAACATTTTCTTTTCCTGCCATTAGTTTTTCACAGGTTTTCAAAACAACAACAACAAGATTCCATTTATAGAGCGCCTTTCACGTCGGGAGGACGTCCCAAGGCGCTGTACAGTTGGGTCAGGACCCAAGTAAGGAGAAATGGTGAGTGGAGGGAAGGGAGGGAGCGAGGAGGGGGTAGAGAGTCGAGAGGGGAGCTGAAGGCACGGTCAAAGAGAAAGGTCTTGAGACCGGCCTTGAAGGAGGAAAGGGAGGAGGCGGCGAAGGCACTGGGGGATAGAGTTCCAGAGCCTCGGGGCTGAGAGGCTGAAGGCCCGACCACCGATGGTAGGGCGGTTGGGGCGGGGGATGTGGAGCAGACCGGAGCCAGAGGAACGGAGGGTACGGGCAGGTAGGTAGGGGGATAGTAGGTTGGAGAGGTAGGAGGGAGCGAGGCCGTGAATGGCCTTGTAGGTGAGGATGAGGATCGTAGATCAACTTAAAAACAGAATATATAGCAGGCAACTGTGGGACACAGTACTATTCCGTGATAACTAGACATGTTAAATGCATGTCTTGGTATGGTTACCGGGGAATATTTTCATTGCTTTGAAAAGCTGCTTGCCTGGCATCACTAATATGGTTTGTGGTGTAAGTAGTTCACTCTGCAGCTGATGATGCTGAGCACATCTGCTATAGATAACAATCTGGAGGCTACTGCTTTTACAGCAGAAAGGTTCAGAGTATGCCTCTACAAAAGGAAACACTCTCCCTGGGATTTCTTTGTAATAAGTTTTCTGAAGAAGCACTTCAAACAGGTGTTTGCTTTTAATCTGCTTCATGTGACACTTAATTAGAAAATCATAGAATATTACAGCACAGAAGAAGGCCATTCAGCCCTTACAATCCTGTACCAGGTCTTTAAAAGAGAGGTCATTCCCATGCCCTCTCTCTATATATTTCCTCTTCAAACATTTGTCTAAATTCCCTTTTAAAAGTTATGACAGATCCTGCCTCAAACACTGTTTTTGGTAGTTGATTCCATAACCAGGTGTAAAAAAAATCTCAGCCTCTCCTTTATATAATACTCAAAAATAACTTTTAACTGTCCACCTAGTATTTCACCTGTGCAACGTACAAGAAAGATTTCAATTGTAATTAAGACCTGGTGAAAAAATTGCTAAAAATTAATAAGAATTGTGGTATTAAAAATAATTTCACAAGCCATCAGATTTGGTAGATTCACAAAGTATTTTGACGCTATCAGAATCTTTGCATTTGATATAGCATCTTTCAAGTCAGAAGGCCATCTCAAAGAGCTTCACAGGATATATTGTAAAGTGTAGTGGTACTGTATTTTGTAGGCAAATAGGGCAGCAATTTTACGCAATGCTCCACAAACGGGTATTAAGTAAGAAATAAGAAAGCAATACAACAACTTGCATTTATATAGCACCCTTCACGCTTGACCGGATCTCGGAGCGCTATACCATTGTTTGTGAACACAATTGGGATCACCTTAATTTAATCTTTGTTAAAACATACAATTTGCACATTGCACTGATGCTAAAGTATCATTTTACACATTCCGCTGATGCTGAAGGCCATTAAGTTCAACTAGTCCACGCTGGTGTTTATAATTCACAGGAGTTGACTCAGTGCATCCAAAAGTATTGTTTTGGGTTCACTGTCTCAATCCCATTTAAAATCTTGTGTAACTCTTCTCTCATTCCCTTCATTGATGCACTCTACACCTCACAGAGCCAATATGGAACCTCAGCGTTCTGTTCAACCCTCAACTGTCCTTCATCCTCCACATCCGTGCCATGATCCGCTCTGGCTTTCCCTACCCCTGCAACATCGCTCGGCTCCTCCACTATCTCTCATCACAGGCTGCCGAGACTCTCATCCACGCATTCATCACATCCCGGCTTGATGTTGCAAACTCACTGCTTGTCGACCTCCCCAACTCCTCCCTCCATAGGCTGCAGATCATTCAGAACTCTGCAGCCTGTGTACTCTCCCACTCCAGGCTCTATGATCCTTTCACCCGACTCCACTGGCTTCCCATCACACAGAGGATACAGTTCAACATCCTGGTCATCACCTTCAAAGCCCTCCACAACCTTGCTCCCCCCTACCTCTGTGACCTCCTAATCCTCTACCACCCTGCCCACTCCCTCCACTCAGTGAGCTCCAGCCTGCTTCATGTCCTCCGCCTTGCCCTCCTCACCATTGATGGGTGGGTCCTTCAACAACAACAACAAGATTCCATTTATTGAGCGCCTTTCACGTCGGGAGGACGTCCCAAGGCGCTGTACAGTTGGGTCAGGACCCGAGCAGGGGGAAATGGTGAGGGGAGGGAAGGAGGGGAGCGAGGAGGGGGTAGAGAGTCGAGAGGAGAGCTGAAGTCTCACTGCCCTACCCTCTGGCACTCCATCCCATAGTCCCTCCACCTCACCCCTCCCTTGCCTACTTCAAGACCCATCTCAAGATCCTCCTCTTAGACCGCGCCTTCGGTCACCCTCCTACCCCTACCTTTCCCGCCCTCCACCCCTCCTGATCCCAACCACCAGCTCAGGTGCAGATCCCTGACTATCCAGCGCCTTGGGATGTCTTCCTCACGTGAAAGGTGCTAAACAAATATAATTTGTTGCTGTTGTCGTTGTTGTTGAAGAGTCTCACTTTGTTGCTCATAGCTCATTTCTCTAACATTGCAGATCATTGTAGGAGGTGCTGTTTTTAATCCAAAGCAAGGATTGATGTCTCATCCATTTTTTGGATTAGACATTAAACTGAGTTCCCATCTGCCTGTTCAGGGGGACATTAAAGATCCCATGGCACTGTTTGAAAAGAGAAGTGAATTTCTTCTGGCCAACAATCTCCCAAATAAAATTGGTCACTTACTCCATGGCTGTTTTTTGGACATTGCTGTGTGCTGCTGCATTTCAATTACACAGTCACTTCAGTTCACAGTAAATTCTATGAAGCGCTTTGAGACACCTTTCCGACATGATAAAGCGCTATACCAAATACAAGAATAATCATTATCATCCTCGTTGCTCTTCGCTGCACTGCCTCGAGGCGACCAAACATATTTGCAGTGTAGTAGGTATGGCCCGACCAGTGTACTATGTAATAATAATAATATTAATAATCCTTTTATAGTTTAGGCCTCGCCAATGGTGGCCAACCTTTCTGGTCACTAACAAAATACATTTTCTTGATTGAATATTTCTTGATTTATGGCATAAATCAATCAAGAAAAAACTGAAAACACACTCCGATCAAACCTAGACATGTTGGCCACCACTGGTTTAGGCATTTGCTTAATCTTTAGTCATTTTTATAAAGTTTGCATTCCACCATGGAAACCATGGAGGATGGCATTTGAGATAGGATATGATGCACATGCAATACCCCCATGTCACGTGTACAGAGCCCCCATGTACAGAAATAATTGCAGTTGCCATGAATTATGTAATGAAATTTTTTTGACTTTACTACAAAATGACTGGATCCCTTTCATTGTAATTATAATTACATAATTAAACACAGCCACAATTTGCTCTATATACATGGCACATAATACAGTTGTTTACACGTGAGTGTACATTGTAACATTTGCTCCGTGAATACATTTTTCTCTCGCCTATTTTCAGATATCCTGTAATATCTGGCATTCACTGATGGAGCTTAAGTTCTTGTCTAGGATCTTGCAAATCAGCCACTAGAAGGTGCAGAAGAGCAGATTGTTTTATTTCTCCCTCCTTCAACAAAGTATCTATACTCTGCTTGCCTCTGCTTTTTTACTAAAGAACTGTTTTACAGGCTTACCTCACCCAAGTGACCATTATCTCAACAGTTGTGATGAAGAAGAAGATAAATATTTTTGTGTGATTCTTAACAGATTTGACATGGGGACATTGCATTTGGTTCATATCCTATCCTAATTCAAATGCACTCCTCCCTGGTTTCCCCATTTCCACCATTCGCAAAATCCAACTCTTCCGAAACTACGGACCCTATCATCCCAATCCTCGCCAGACTCCACTGAGTGGTTGAAGATCTCCGAAAGGATCAATTTCAAGATCCTCATCCTCAATAGAAATCCCTCCACCCTCTAGGATGCCCCTAACTACTCTGACCTTCACTCAGCGGACACAGCCTTGATGACATCCCCTGATCCCTTCATCCCATCCTTAATCTCTGGAACTGCCTGCCTCAATCCCTCTGCCTCAACCCCTCTTTATCTTGAAATTCCACTTCAACAACAACAAAAATTACATTTATAGAGCGCCTTTCATGTTGGGAGGACGTCCTAAAGCCCTGAACAGTCAGGTGTCGGGGCCCAGGCATGGGGGAGGGGTGGTGCAGGGGGGAGGGAAGGCAGAGAGGTGGGAGGGAGACCAAAGACACGGTCGAAGAGAAAGGTCTTGAGACCGATCTTGAAGGAGGCAAGGGAGGAAGCGAGGTGAAGGGACCGTGGGATGGAGTTCCAGAGTGTGGGGGCAGAGTCGGGCGAGAGACATGGAGCAGACCGGAGCCCGATTAACGGAGGGAGCGGGCAGGCTCGTAGGGAGTCAGCAGGTCAGAGAGGTAGGAGGGGGCAAGACCATAGATGGCCTTAAAGGTGAGGATGAGGATCTTGAACTTACCTCTTTGACTGCACCTTTGGTAACCTCCCACTTCTCCCTTGCCCCTAACATGCTATTGTGCAGCACTCCAAGACGCTATCCTCCGTGAAGGGTGGCAAATAAATGCAAGTTGCTGTTCCTGCATTCTAATCTGATATACATATATGTACGTAAACACCCTTCCTGTAAGAACTACAGCTAATAATCCACTTCCTGATCTGATCAATTTTAGCTCTTTATTGAATGCATCAGGATTTCAAAGATTGCCCAATTCCAAGATTGTCCAACTTTCACAACAGTCATTTTTATATATAGATGCTTTGCTTTACACTTTGCTTACGTCAGTACTTCCTTTACCACTGCCCCAGGACAATTTACATTGATTCTGCCCTTTTTATAGTGATATTTTGGCTCACTTTGGAATCACTTTCCAAACTACAGCAATTTCCTGTCAAATCTACAGTATAAAAGCAGCATTAATGTGAGATCTATCAACACAGTGAATGAGATGGGTAACAAAACCATTTGAACAAGTTGAGCTGCATATATTTTTGGCTTACCTGCATCAGAATACAATAGGTTCACTGTTAAAATCAAATGAGAGTCATTACTACTGAGTGACATTTAGCACAACTGATACTCACAACACTGGGAATTGTAGACACAGACCTACATCCTCATATACCACGACACAATAAGTAGGATTGCCATCACGTTGCACGCCGATCATTGATCAGGATCATTAAACGGTAGATGACAAACACAAAGAGAAAAGAAAGAAGAATCCTATTTGAGATTGGACCAGTGATGGTGTATTTTGGGAGTCAAACAGAACAGCCAAATTGTGCTCAATTTACGTGTCAGATTGTTGGCAATGGCACCTGGAGAAACTTCCTCCTCTTTCCAACGAGCGTCCCGGGATCTTTAAGATCTACCTGAAAAGGAGTGTCAGCTGATACGATGAGATTGAGTGTCCTGAGTGGAGATTGAATGCACAATTTTCTGACTCGGAGACAAGAATGCTGTCAAGTCAGTGAAGATGACTCGTGCACCAGATGAAACACATACCAATTCCTATTCTCGTTATCTTTAATACACAGTAGATCTGGTTTTAGTGCAATGCAAAAACCTCCTGCAGGGATCACAGAGCAGAGTGTTAGAGCGAAAAATATGTTGGGCATAATAATGGGAACAGAGAAGGCTTCACTGCAGATCGACACACATACCACTGGTGAACTTTGCTTCCTTTTAGATGTAAAGTTTACCCACACAGCGGATGGAGGGCTCGCGGTAAAGCCGGGAACTGAACTCCATGTAAAACCCTCCGGTGAGGCGATGTCCCGAGCGGGAGGGGGTGTGGGGAGAGACCCGTCACACACAGGTGTTCACTACCAAACAGATTCCGAGGTGAAGGTGATGACACTCTCGTGTTTGCGGAGCACTGACTGAGAGCAGCGATCACCCACCGGGGAAACGCGCCATTCCCCCCCCCACCCCCACCCCCCCCCCCCCGGGGCTGAGTCATTCTGTCTGATTGCCCCCGAGACACGGACCTCTGTCTGTCTGTCTGTCTGTCTGTCTGTGTCTCTGTCTGATTCTCTCTGTCTCTGATTCTCTGTCTCTCTCTGTCTCTGTGTCCCTCTGTGTGTCGCTGTGATTCTCTCTCTTGTCTTTGTGTCCCTCTCTGTCTCTGTGTGTCTCTCTCTCTCTGACTCTCTGTCTGTGTGTGTGTGTGTCGCTGTGATTCTCTGTGTCCCTCTGTGTGGGTGTCTCTCTCTCTCTAATTCTCTGTCTGTGTGTGTGTGTCGCTGTGATTCTCTCTCTGTCTCTGTGTCCCTCTGTGTGTGTGTCTCTCTCTCTCTCTCTCTGATTCTCTGTCTGTCTCTGTGTGTGTGTGTGTGGCTGTGACTCTCTGTGTCCCTGTGTGTGTGTGGCTGTGACTCTCTGTGTGTGTGTGTGGCTGTGACTCTCTGTGTCCCTGTGTGTGGGGGGGCCCTCAGCACATACCATGGCATTAGAGCAGGCGAGGATGCAGGTGACGAGCAGAATAAACCATCGTCGTCTGTAGGTCCTGTGTCGGACCCCGAGAAGCGGCTCCGTGTCGGGCGGCATCGCGGCCTCAGCGACTTCCGGACTGAGCGGAGGCGGAGCCCACCCGCAGCCCCGCCCCCCGCTCACACAGCAGCCAATCCGAGGCCAGGCCACCCCGCCCCCCGCTCACACAGCAGCCAATCCGGGGCCAGGCCGCCCCGCCGTGACCATGGTGATCACAACCATTGTTATAGTCACAGCGGATTGTCACAAGACCGTCCCTGTCCTCCCCCTCCCCACTGCCCCCCCCCCACTGCCCCCCCCACTGCCCCCCCCCCACTGCCCCCCCCCCCACTGCCCCCCCCCCACTGCCCCCCCCCCACTGCCCCCCCCACTGCCCCCCCCCCACTGCCCCCCCCACTGCCCCCCCCACTGCCCCCCCCCCACTGCCCCCCCCCACTGCCCCCCCCACTGCCCCCCCCACTGCCCCCCCCCACTGCCCCCCCCCCACTGCCCCCCCCACTGCCCCCCCCCCACTGCCCCCCCCCACTGCCCCCCCCACTGCCCCCCCACTGCCCCACCCCCACTGCCCCCCCCCCACTGCCTGCCCCCAGTGGCCCTCCCTCCTCCCCACTGCTCCCCCCCCACTGCCCCCCCACTGCCCCCCCCACTGCCCCCCCCACTGCCCCCCCCCCACTGCCCCCCCACTGCCCCCCCCCACTGCCCCCCCCCACTGCCCCCCCCCCCACTGCCCCCCCCCACTGCCCCCCCCCACTGCCCCCCCCACTGCCCCCCCCCACTGCCCCCCCCCCACTGCCCCCCCCGCCCCCCCACTGCCCCCCCACTGCCCCCCCACTGTCCCACCCCCCACTGCCCCACCCCCCACTGCCCCCCCCACTGCCCCCCCCACTGCCCCCCCCCCCACTGCCCCCCCCCACTGCCCCCCCCCCCACTGCCTGTGCCCCACTGCCGGTCCCCCTGCCTGTCCCCAGTGCCCCTCCCTCCTCCCCACTGCCTGTCCTCCACTGCCTGCTCCCCACTGCCTGTCCCACTGCCTCCCCCCACTGCCTGCCCCCAGTGCCCCTCCCTCCTCCCCACTGCCTGCCCCCCAGTGGCCCTCCTCCTCCCCACTGCTCCCCCACCCCACTGCCCCCCCCCCCCACTGCCCCCCCCACTGCCCCCCCCCACTGCCCCCCCACTGCCCCCCCCACTGCCCCCCCCACTGCCCCCCCCCACTGCCCCCCCACTGCCCCCCCCCCACTGCCCCCCCCACTGCCCCCCCCACTGCCCCCCCCCACTGCCCCCCCCACTGCCCCCCCCCCCCCCACTGCCCCCCCACTGCCCCCCCCACTGCCCCCCCCACTGCCCCCCCCCACTGCCCCCCCACTGCCCCCCCCACTGTCCCACCCCCCACTGCCCCCCCCCCACTGCCCCCCCCACTGCCCCCCCCTGCCCCCCCACTGCCCCCCCCCCACTGCCCCCCCCACTGCCCCCCCCCCACTGCCCCCCCCCACTGCCTGTGCCCCACTGCCGGTCCCCCTGCCTGTCCCCCAGTGCCCCTCCCTCCTCCCCACTGCCTGTCCTCCACTGCCTGCTCCCCACTGCCTGTCCCACTGCCTCCCCCCACTGCCTGCCCCCCAGTGCCCCTCCCTCCTCCCCACTGCCTGCCCCAGTGGCCCTCCCTCCTCCCCACCGCCTGCCCCCCAGTGCCTGCCCCTGCCACCCAGTGCCTGCCACTGTCCCCCAGTGCCTGTCCCTGCCACCCAGTGCCTGTCCCTGCCATCCAGTGCCTGTCCCTGCCCCTGCCACCCAGTGCCTGTCCCTGCCATCCAGTGCCTGCCCCTGCCCCTGCCACCCAGTGTCTGTCCCCGCTCCTGCCCCCCAGTGCCTGCCCCTGCCACCCAGTGCCTGCCACTGCCCCCCAGTGCCTGTCCCTGCCACCCAGTGCCTGTCCCTGCCATCCAGTGCCTGTCCCTGCCCCTGCCACCCAGTGCCTGTCCCTGCCATCCAGTGCCTGCCCCTGCCCCTGCCACCCAGTGTCTGTCCCCGCTCCTGCCCCCAGTGCCTGCCCCTGCCCCCAGTGCCTGCCCCTGCCCCCAGTGTCTGCCCCTGCCCCCAGTGTCTGTCCCTGCCCCCAGTGCCTGTCCCTGCCACCCAGCGCCTGTCCCTGCCATCCAGCGCCTGTCCCTGCCATCCAGTGCCTTCTGTCCCTGTCCCTGCCATCCAGTGCCTGTCCCTGCCCCTGCCACCCAGTGCCTGTCCCTGCCATCCAGTGCCTGTCCCTGCCCCTGCCACCCAGTGCCTGTCCCTGCCATCCAGTGCCTGCCCCTGCCCCTGCCACCCAGTGTCTGTCCCCGCTCCTGCCCCCCAGTGCCTGCCCCTGCCCCCCAGTGCCTGCCCCTGCCCCCCAGTGCCTGCCCCTGCCCCCCAGTGTCTGCCCCTGCCCCCCAGTGTCTGTCCCTGCCCCCCAGTGCCTGTCCCTGCCACCCAGCGCCTGTCCCTGCCATCCAGCGCCTGTCCCTGCCATCCAGTGCCTTCTGTCCCTGTCCCTGCCATCCAGTGCCTGTCCCTGCCCCTGCCACCCAGTGCCTGTCCCTGCCACCCTGTCCCAACAACAAGATTCCATTTATTGAGCGCCTTTCACGTCGGGAGGACGGCCCAAGGCGCTGTACAGTTGGGTCAGGACCCGAGCAGGGGGGAAATGGTCAGGGTGAGGGGAGGGAAGGGAGGGAGTGAGGAGGGGGGAAATGGTCAGGGTGAGGGGAGGGAAGGGAGGGAGTGAGGAGGGGGGAAATGGTCAGGGTGAGGGGAGGGAAGGGAGGGAGCGAGGAGGGGGTAGAGAGTCGAGAGGGGAGCTGAAGGCTCGGTCAAAGAGAAAGGTCTTGAGACCGGCCTTGAAGGAGGAAAGGGAGGAGGCGGCGAAGGCACTGGGGGATGGAGTTCCAGAGCCTCGGGGCTGAGAGGCTGAAGGCCCGACCACCGATGGTAGGGCGGTTGGGGCGGGGGATGTGGAGCAGACCGGAGCCAGAGGAACGGAGGGTACGGGCAGGTAGGTAGGGGGATAGTAGGTCGGAGAGGTAGGAGGGAGCGAGGCCGTGAATGGCCTTGTAGGTGAGGATGAGGATCTTGAATTCGATCCTCTGGGGGATGGGGAGCCAGTGGAGGCGAGCGAGGGTGGGAGTGATGTGGTCGCGGAGGGAGGTGGCGGGAAGGCCGGCGAGGAGAGAGTTCCCATAGTCCAGCCTTGAGGTGATAAAGGCGTGGACCAGGGTTTCAGCCGCGTGAGGGGTGAGGTAGTGCCGTAGTCTGGCGATGTTTCGGAGGTGATGGAAGGCGGTGCCAGTTGTGGTGCGGATGTGAGGGAGAAAGGACAGCTCAGGGTCGAACAGAACCCGAGGTTCCTGACTGGCTTTGAGAGGTGGAGAGTGCAGCCTTGGATGCTGATGCTGTCAGCGCCTGAGGTGCGGAGGCGCTGACGTGAGCCAATCAGGAGGGCCTCAGTTTTTCGCACGTTGAGCTGAAGAAAGTTGTCTCTCGTCCAGGACTCGATGTCGGACAGGCAGCTGTCAGGACATCGGTGGTCGTGGAGTTGAGGGTAGAGGAGGAAAGGTAGAGTTGGGTGTCATCCGCATACATGTGGAAGTTAACCCCATGTCTGCGGATGATGTCACCACAAGGGGAGCATATAGAGGGTGAAGAGGAGGGGACCGAGGACAGAGCCCTGAGGGACACCGCACGAGACAGTACGGGGGGTGGAGGAGAAGCCGTTTGTGGAGACAAAGTGAAGACGGTGGGAGAGGTACGACCTAAACCATTCAAGGACAGTGCCTTGAAGGTTGAGGTGGGAGGACAAGCGATGGAGGAGGATAGCGTGGTCGACCGTATCGAATGCTGCCGATAGGTCGAGGAGGACGAGGAGGCAGAGGGAGCCCTGGTCACAGATGGTCAGGATGTCATTGGTGACCTTGACCAGGGCAGTTTCTGTGCTATGGGCAGCACGGAAACCCGACTGAAGGGGTTCAAATAGTGAATGGGTGGAGAGGAAAGAGCGCAGCTGGGAGGCGACAACTCGTTCCAGGACCTTGGACAGGAAGGGGAGGTTGGAGATGGGCCGGTAGCTTGATAGCTGCGACGCATCAAGGGAGGGTTTTTTCAAGGTGGGAGTGATGGTGGCAGTTTTTAAGGGAATGGGAACAGAGCCAGAGGAGAGGGACAGGTTGACGATGTCTGTGATATGTGGGGCAAGGAGGTGGAGCTGGGAGATAAGGAGTGGAGTGGGGATGGGGTCAAGAGAGCAGGTGGTGGGTTTCAGGGACAGGATGAGGTTGGTGACAGAGGGTGGGGAAACGGGTACGAACGTGTGTAGGGGAGGATGGGTAGGAGTCGGAGTGTGGGAGGGAGGGGGTGGGGGGTGGGTGGAGGTTGGAGGGGAAGTGACCGCGGAGCGAATTCCCTTGATTTTGGATTCAAAGTGCCTGTCCCTGCCATCCAGTGCCTGACCCTGCCACTCAGTGCCTGTCCCTGCCCCTGCCACCCAGTGCCTGCCCCTGCCACCCAGTGCCTGCCCCTGCCACCCAGTGCCTGTCCCTGCCACCCAGTGCCTGTCCCTGCCACCGCCACCTAGTGCCTGTCCCTGCCACTGCCACCGCCACCCAGTGCCTGTCCCTGCCACCCAGTGCCTGTCCCTGCCACTGCCACCCAGTGCCTGTCCCTGCCCCCGCCACCCAGTGCCTGTCCCTGCCACCGCCACCCAGTGCCTGCCACTGCCACCCAGTGCCTGCCACTGCCACCCAGTGCCTGTCCCTGCCACCCAGTGCCTGTCCCTGCCACCGCCACCCAGTGCCTGCCACTGCCATGCAGTGCCTGCCCCTGCCACCCAGTGCCTGTCCCTGCCACCCAGTGCCTGTCCCTGCCACTGCCACCCAGTGCCTGTCCCTGCACCCGCCACCCAGTGCCTGTCCCTGCCACCGCCACCCAGTGCCTGCCACTGCCACCCAGTGCCTGCCACTGCCACCCAGTGCCTGTCCCTGCCACCCAGTGCCTGTCCCTGCCACCGCCACCCAGTGCCTGCCACTGCCATG